CAATTGAACAAGCACCACACATTTCATGTATTCACGTCAGATGAAGTATTTCGCTCCAAGAAGAACAAATGAAATGAAATGGGGTTTAACGTCCTACTGTTCTGCTTCACTGGATTAACGAATAAAGACAGCAAAAAAGTACAAGAAATGTGTCTGGAACCAGTTCCTGATTCAAAAATTAATTCTGCCCGAGTTCAGAATCAAGTAGTAGTTCAAGTTTCAACAATTTATAAAAGTTAAAAAATTTTTTGTTTGTTTTAGATTTACAAGAATTTATATGGAGCCATGTTACAAACACCAGATGTTTTACAGCGCCCCCATTATTGGCAAGAGTTCCTGGATAAACCCAAACTAAACTCTAGACCGTTGGCTAAATTATAACATCTTGGTCACCCATACCAATGACAGTCATTGAGAACAAACAGGATTTAAACACAACTCAAATAAACTATTATTTAAACTTTTACATGTTACTGAGGCACATACAATTAATCCACCATAATCATCCTGAAGTACAAGGGTAAAAAGTCGGTCTGTACATCAGAGTAGCGTATATAACTCACGCAGGTCATGACCATTGGTAAAACTAGGTTATAACAGCAGGAGGTTTGGTTTGCATTATACACTTAAGGTTTTAAACCTGTCACTTATAGAAGTATTGTCTCTCTTACCAAACTAATTAATGTAATTATGTGACACCACCTTTTGCTGTTGGTGTACCATTATTTCATGCAGTATCAATATATTATTTATTGTCTCAATATTGACCCTTAAACCACACATAATTTTGAATAATATCTGATTCGATAATACTATAATTATCAAAAATTCCGAACACTGACCTAATTAGAGTACAGTAGTTTTAATGGGTGTTTGACAAATTTCTTGAAAATCACTCAGAAAATTGCCCAACTTCTAAACTGAAAGTTATATCACAGCAATCGTAGTCAGATCACGTCAAACTGGACCTCTCAAGTACCGTACTACTGCCTCATAAAAAAGACCTTTGTATAAAGGATGAATCCACTTTAAATAGAACTTTATAAATACACCGGTATATTAAATGTGGACATATAAAGAGTAATGACAGTTTTCTTTTATATCATCCATATTTCAATCTTTAAAGAGGTAAATTAAACTTGAACCTTTATATGCCACAATATCTTGATACATCATGTTAATGTTAAAAATAGAGGATCCCCGGCAACAAACTTCACAACACTGTGTAGATGGTTTAAAAAATTATAATCTAGGTCTGGAACATGTTTCGGGCTGTCCGCCCTTCATCAGCCAGAGTTGGTTACATAAATGATATAACAAAATAATCCGGGCTATATATATAAATTTAGACTAAGCCGCATGCGCCAAATACTTGTATATATAGCCCGGATTATTTTGTTATATCATTTAACCATCTACACAGTGTTGTGAAGTTTGTTGCCGGGGATCCTCTATTTTTGATATTTTTCACGGATCGGTTTCTGCTTATCCCCGGATGTATCACTGAGATCCAGACTTGCCTGCACTGTATTAGGGAATCTTCCGCCCTCTTTTTTTTCGAGTGTGGGGGTTTTATCGTCCTTTACTTGGATTTTCTATGTTAATGTTAACTTGATGCCACTAAACCTTAATACATCATGTTAATGTTAACTTGATGCCACTATACCTTGATACATCATGCTAATGTTAACTTGATGCAACTATATCTTGATACACCATGATAATGTTAACTTGATGCCACTATACCTTGATACATCATGTTAATGTTAACTTGATGCCACTAAGTCTTGATACATCATGTTAATGTTAACTTGATGCCACTAAATCTTGATACATCATGTTAATGTTAACTTGATGCCACTGTATCTTGATACATCATGTTAATATTAACTTGATGCCACTATATCTTGATACATCATGTTAATGTTAACTTTGTACCATTATATGACACTATATCTTGATACATCATACTAATGTTAGTTTTAAATAGATCATTTAAAAAAACTAACATCAAAACTGTAACATATAATCTTATTAAAAAAATGGTCAATAAAAAGTAATTGTATTTAGCATTTAAATTATTTGTTTTTAATTTTCAAATATTTTGAAATTACATTTATTTCCAGTTATAAATAAAAGTGATCACCATGACATTTTATTATTTTTACACATTATTTTTGAATATTAGTATTTACTATAAATAAGATATATATTTGAAAATTCAAGGTATATATTTGAAAATTCAAGGTATATATTTGAAAATTAAGATATATGTTTTAGAATTAATATATATGTTTCAGAATTTAAGATATAAATTTTTGAATATTAGTATTTTACTATTTAAATACATGTAAATTTTTGAAAAATGTGAACCGATCTAGTACAATTCTGAAATTATAACAGCTTTGTAGGAATTAAAGTATTAAAATTTGGAAGTGTAACAAGTAAACACTATCAATAGATTAATGGGTGAGTTGTTTGCACTACACATCTTAGTCAAAGGAGATGCTGTACGTTTCTATGTTCTAATAAAACATCTATATATTTGACAAGTCTTCATCGTATCATGTTGAAATAACAATCAGTAAATATGTAATTAATAGTGTTTTTATATTTATTTGAAATTGTAAATAATTTAATCCTGATGTAAATTTGAAGAATAAAAAATTAAAAGACGTGCCTTTAAGACTGCTATGTTTATTTGCTTTTTTAATATCTTTGGAGAGTGATCAGTCAAATTAGTTTGTTTTTAGACTACACCTGATAAATATAAACAGATTGCTGTAAGGTGTCTTTCAGGTGGACAGGTGGGTTGGGTGGCCAAATGGTCTAAGATGTGCACTTTAGATCATAAGGTCTGTTATTGATTCTGATGTTCAGCTTTCGATTCCTTGCCCTATACTTGACAAGGACTAGGGTCACCTGTCAAACCTTGTGGGTTTACTATAGGTTCTCAAGTTTCCTCAACTGCAAAAGACCCCAGTGTGCCAGTGAATTATTGACATTAAATTGAACCATATGTAAGTCCCAAAATGGTCTAGTTTGTGTTGAATAGATACACGACATGCACCCTTCCTTTCTATTGGCAATAATTGAGGGGGCCTTCACTACACAATATAGGGGGGTTGGATGGCTGAATGGTTAGCGTGCGCGCGCTGTATCATAAAGTCTGTCATTGAGTCGACTGGCATGGTTTTGAATCCCCGGTTGTACGTGGCAAGGAGTAGGGTCGCCTGTCCAACCTCGTGGGTTTTCTCCGGGTCTTCCGGTTTCCTCCCACTGCTAAAGACCCCTACGCGCAAGCGAATTATGTAAACAAAATTAAACCATATGTTAGTCCTGAAATGACCTAGTTTGTGTCGAGTGGACGTTAAACCCCATTTCTCTCTCTCTCACTACACAATATGAAGGCCTTTCAGGATTAACAATAGGAACACTTCTCAGGATTAACAATATACAATTGGAGGTGTATAATACATGCATGACAAGACTTTCATGTCTACTCCCCCTTTCCGCCATTGCCCCAAAATTTCCTTACACCATGGGTGGGCAGAGTTTGGGGCAAAGGCGGCGGTGGCCCCAACAATCCATTGCAAGGCTACATCCAATCATAGAAAAAAAAAATTAAAATTAAGTTTTTTGAAATTATCATTCTTAATTTTCGTTTAAAAACTGGGCTACTTAATTTGATAAAAAAAATTAATTCATCTGTTTTACATAAAAGTGTTCAAAATGTCTGAGATTTGGGATTACTAGGCCCTATATACTTCATCACCTGGGCATCACCAAATCTCTGCATGCCACTGTCTTCCACTAAGTTTGCTGACCGACAGACACAGGTGAAATGATATGAAATGGGGTTTAACATCCTACTGTTCTGCTCTGACTGGGCTAATGAAGATGGGCATATGCCATACAGTGTGCTATGAGGGAAACTTTGCGCAATCAATGGCGCTACAGCCTACTCTAATATCAATTTCCAACCACCAAGGGATCTTTTACGTGCATGCCAATGTGCACAAAGGACCTCAGGTTTTTTTTGTCCCATCTGAACAACTAGACAGCTGTCCTTGTTAGGTCTCGGTCCCAGAATCAGATGACAAGAGTTCGATGTTCACTGAAATTGGGATTAACATCCCACTTTATTACAACAACCTGGCTAACGAAAACATGCATTCCCTATGAAGTGCACTATGAGGTACATCTTGTCTAGACAGCAGAGAAATGGGGTTTAACATCCACTCGACACAAACTAGGTCATTTTGAGACTAACATATGGTTCAATGTTATTTCAATAATTTACTTGTGCATAGGGGTCTTTAGTAGTGGGAGGAAACCGGGGGACCCGCAAAAAACCCACAAAGTTGGCTAGGTGACCCAACTCTTTGCCACGTACAAGCAGGGAATGGAAACCACACCACTTGACTCAATGACAGAACTTATGATGCAACACGCACTCATTGGTCTGGATAGTGGCATTTCTGCCTATCTTTCATCTAATTGAATCTGTAATTTTTGGTAGTAGTCATTATGGAGCCAATCTGGTTAAAAAACAGATCCTATTTCGTTCTGTTTTTATAGTTCAAAATTTCGTTTTACTTGTCTTTACTACACTTGGATCTGTAAAAGTTGTTCTGAATGGTGTCAGGAATAAGCCAATGAAACGGTCTGTTACGGCCAGCTTTAGGCGTGTTTTTCACGGAACTGTGGGTAATCCACTAGTAACATCAATGCTGATTGGTTAATCAAATGTCTGACGTCATAGGGTCATAAGTCGGTCTTTTGACCCCTGACGTGACCTATCGATATAACTTGTCGGATCTTCATGTAGTGTAGGTCATTGAAAGTATAAAAAACCGAAACGAAATATAGATCTGTATTTAAATCAGATTGTTTCAGAGCCTAATAGAAACCCATAAAACAGATCCAGATTGGCTTCCTTTAATTCGAAAAGTGAAACACACCAATGTGGGTGTATAAAAAACGTGGAATACTGTGTATATACTATTATAACTGTTTTATAACTTATATAATATAGGACATGATAATATTCATCAACATAACAACAGATTATATATAGGGGGTAAATACAGTATGCATGCATTAATTTCAATCAAATATCTAATACTCTCCCAGTTTCTTTTATCATTTTAAAGTTTACTTAACAGAGAAACTAAAGACGTGTTTCTAAAGATAAATAGTAGATAAAATGACATAAAATATAATAAAACAAAGATAAATGTCTAGACAAAATTTCATATTTTCTAAATTTTTCATTATCCTAAATCATTAAACAATCACTTCTGGACAGAAAATACAGGACTAAAGTAACTAAACTAAAATAAGTACATGAAATGTAAATAAAACTAATATCTAACTAACAAAAAACACAAAAATATTAATCTCCTGTACTATTTAGTCTCCTGTTCTATTCAATCTCCTGTTCTATTTGGTCGCCTGTTCTATTCAATCTCCTGTTCTATTCAGTATCATATCTAATTGCTTTGATGAATTATTTATTACATATTGTTATTAAAATTTTAATAACTACACTTTACTTCAATAGTGTTCATCTATCCATTTACACTAGATAAGAAATATTTTTTGTCCAGATATACTTCAAAGTTCAAACAACTTTATAGTTTTTCTTGATAACATTGAGAGCTAATTAACTGTCAGTTTTATTGGCGGTCAAGCGAATATTTCCTGCTGATCAGTTTGGTAAAATACCGCATAGCTGCAATTATGACTTCAAATGTCAACAGTTAAAACATATTTTGTTAGGATCTAAATATTTTCTGAATCTAGGGGTGTACAATTTTTAATGCGGAAAGAGGCAGTCTTCCCACATAGCCAATAAATTTAATCAGATTTTTAAAAAGTTAATTTCGTTTTCTAACTGTATACATTATTGTATTTAAAAAATAAACAGCATTTAGACTGTTGAAAATACTTAATGAATGTATTTTTTAGAATTATATATATATGACAACTATATGTATATATGAAAGGAAAAGACAATTGATTTCATGAGATGATTTAAGATGTTCTGTAAATCATCGCTGCAAAATAACAATACATAACTGGGATGGGAAGAATTGGCTATATCATTAATATTATTTACATATTATATATAGTTATAACTGTATATATTAACAACCTGAGGTATTCATACTAAATAATATATATACCGGTATATATGATATATTCAAGATTACTCAATATTGTCTTGATGACAGAGGAGAAGTCGTATAAACTTACTTAGTTTTCCAATCATGGTGATCATTTAGAAAACCAAAAAATACAATTTTTATATGTTGGAAATGAAATGGGGTTTAACATCCTACTATTCTGCTCCGAACTGGGCTAATGAAGATGTTTTATATGTCGGATTCATTTACTATTTTTAATAAAGTAACCACAAAATGAGTCTTTCAATTGTGTTTTACATATGCTGATTGCAAACTTATCTGGTATGTCGAATAAACCAATTTATATTTAAAATGTCCTAAGAGATTGACTGGCTCTTTAAATAATAAGGAATTTATAAGTCGTAAGTTTTGGGAAAGGATTAAATTCATAAAATCAATACATAAATTGTTGATACAGAAATATTTAACATCTTGTATTTTACAGTGGATATTTGAAGCTTTCTTTTCCTAAATATAAGTAAAGAAATATGCGTTTACTAAATCCAATAAAAAGTACTAATTTTGATATAATAAGCTATCTATTCTCTAAATTATAACAAATATCACTTAAAACAGTCAGCTAAGATAACTTAATTGAGTTGTATACTTAAAGATACATTATGGGAGATTTTAATAGAAAGTTGGCCATTCTTGCTATAACAGTTCAAAAATAGATGATGAAAGGAGAATATATTAAAAATTTCAGTCAAATTACTTTATTATGAACAAAGTTATCACCATTGTAATTTTTGACTAGAAATAGGAGTCAACTCTCTCTTCACCGTCTCCGAGAATGGCCGATCGCTTTGATTGACAGGCGTTAACTCCACCTACATAATCTTGATTATCAAATAACGTTTTCAATGGCTGTGGTACCGTTAGCCTATTCGGTTTGAGACGGGGTTGCTATTCAATTCGTATCACATTTATTTTTACTACAAATTAAAAATAAGACTTTTAATATATAGATAAGAAGCGAAAGTTTGAAAGGAATGGACCAAAACAATGAGGCAGCATTGTACATAATTATAGCCGACTTCTTGTTAGCCTGCGTGTACTCTTGTACTGTAACTGGTAGACCTACGTGACTCCTGAAGTAGACAAATAGGAAACAGTGATCCAATGGGACTGCAACAACTGGGGTGATGTTAGCTGCGATGTTTATCAATTTCCATAATTTTTCTGTAAACGCAAGTGACAAAAGAGCGTATAATACCGACATCCAAACTCTCATTTTAACCACAATTAAACATAATATCGAGGCCGTATATTGAACGTTCAATCAAATTGACTGACATGCGGTCGTGCTCAACAGCGGCCTCGCTTTGTACGCTCTATCATTTAGCCTCGATCATCACTGCCTTTTATGGATAATTTCCAGGAGTAATACGTCAACGTAACGGTTAATCTCCGCTTACGACACCATTTAAAAATTTAATCAATCAATGAAATCCTGTTGAAATCCAAGCTGAATCCAAGCCTAAATAAAGACTTAAAATATGCTGATTTAGCTCTTGCATAATGCATGTTTAACTAGTAACAACAACAAAAAAAAAAATCCAAATATTGACAGAAGTAAATTTACCCCAAAAAGTATTTAGCTGAAGTTTAAGATGCAAAGGTAAAATATAACAATATAAGTAACAATTGTTACTTTTTTTTGGCAATGGAAGTTTATATATATATATATATCTTTCATATATACACACACATTATGTAACTTATACTTGTCGCGGTTGATAGGAGAGGGTGTCTCTAGCCCCTGCTTGTTCTTTAATCAAGTTTCTGTAAATAAATCTTGTTTTTAATTAAACAAAAAATCTTTACAGGTCCATTAAATGCTTATTCTATATATTTTATCATAAATGAAATATATATATATTTAATTAATATAAAACAGTGCTGATTACTTACATATTGTATGTACACATATATCGACAAAGTCTTTTATTTTTAAAAAACAAAACAAACAAATATATGCTTGAAATATGTATTATGTATAAAATATATTTATAAAAGCCCTATTTGAACTCAAACATAATTATATATGTATATAACAACATAAATATTGTACTACATGCATACCCAAAATAGATGGTTTATAGTATTGTAAAACATATAATTATTACACATGGAAACAGGCTAAAACAATTGAAATATAGTCTAATGATGTTATCAGCATAAAATGAACTATATTTTGTTAAACATAAACGTCAAGCCAGCAATAGGAGTCACAGTAAAAATATTCTGCTAGGATAAACAAGGCAGTTACCTATTATATGATACCAATGAGACTCCCACTTCTCCCACCAAGGAGAAACATGTTACAGACCACAGTCATACACATCTGCCTGTGTAATTCAAACGTCAATATATTGGTAAATATAAAATAACCACTATCTAACACAGTAACCTATTTTACAGTTATTTACTTACAGGGCTATCTCTTCTCATTTTGGTATTTTCTACAACTACCGGTACATGTATACCTTTCACAGGGGGATTGTTATTCTAGAATTTATATTGGTACTAGTGGGGACTGGGGAGTTATTCTAGAGTTGGTATTTCCATTAGAGAGAGAATAGAGAGTGACAGAGGTGCATGGGAGTGAGTGTTAGAGTTTGTGTTTGCATCATAGAATAAGAAAAAGGGGGGGTGTCTAGAGTTTATATTCCTTCCTATATTTGGGATATGAGTATTTAACCAGGTTATAAAACAAGTAAATAACATGTACATATATTAATATAAACAAAAAAAAAACCACCTGAATTCTAAATAAATGTATAAACAGTACAAAAATAACTAACAACTAATACTAAAATAATCTACCGGTATAATATAGATTTAATCTACAAGTAATTAACTTGTGAGGTTAAAAACAGACCTGGCTTATTCTGTGTCAATTTAACAAACTTGGCTTATTCAGTCAGTGTAAAATAAGACTTGGCTTATTCGTATCAAATCAACTGACTTGGCTTATTCTGTGTTAAATCAACTGACTTGGCTTATTCTGTGTTGATTCAACTGACTTATTCTGTGTTCATTCAACTGACTTATTCTGTGTTAATTCAACTGACTTAGCTTATTCTGTGTTAAATCAACCAAGAGACGACCCTTGATAAAGAATCATTTGAAGAACGTTGTTGCGACGATTTAACGACATGGGAATGAGTCAAGCTGACACACCTGATTGTACCAAACAAGATTTTAACCAATGTTAGAGAAAAATTTAAACTCTATTAAAGTAGTTAAATATCATATTAGTTTAGTAAAAATACAAAAAACAATTTCTGTCAGAATTTTAAGAATTCTTAATATGTAATTTTCCGACATTCGTGTAATGATAAACAGTCAAAACATAACATATATTTGTCCAATGCAAGTTTTAAAGGACAGTGTTGATGTCAGCCATTATCACATATGTGATAAAACTGGTTAAACAAATTCCAAATATAATTTTAACACAAAAATCATTGCTACTAGTGACAGTCAATTGTTTTCATGAATTGTCAGATATCCCAATGAATTGTCAGATATCCTCTCACATAACAAATTTTCGTTTTTGACAGAATTATCACTCGTCACTTCCCGTTTCTTCAAATCTTCATTACACTTCTATCTTAGCAATGATCTCTGTGTTATAATTATTTGGAATGTGTTTAACCAGTTCTATCACATATGTGATAATGGCTGACACCAATATTGTCCTTTAAATGAGTAGCTGTCCCAGATGTATTCTCATGAATAAAACAGTTAATTCTGTTTGAAAGAATTCAGCAAGATTCATCCCATTTCTATTTCTATTTTTCTCGTGTTCTCTTATCTAATGACATTCAATTCTTTATTGAATTGTCAGATATCCTCTTACAGTCCCATATAACAACTTTTGGTCTTCGAAGGAATTATTAGTGAGCAGAAATTCGGCCGTGTATCTATTATCACTCGTCGCTTCAGTCAGTTATATAGAGCGGTGACTCGTGTTCATCCCATTTCTATTTTTCTCGTGTTCTCTTATCTAATGACATTCAATTACTTTATTGAATTGTCAGATATCCTCTTACAGTCCCATATAATAACTTTTGGTCTTCGAAGGAATTATTAGTGAGCAGAAATTCGGCCGTGTATCTGTTATCACTCGTCGCTTCAGTCAGTTATATAGAGCGGTGACTCGTGTTTTCCTTTGGCGTTCAACACTTCCGATTCGGGAAACTTGTATTACTCAGCTATCATAGCAATGATCTCTGTGTTAAAAGTATATTTGGTATGTGTTTAACCAGCTCTATCACATATGTGATAATGACTGGCACCAATATTGTCCTTTAACATCCTTGCATTCATATATACCCTGTTCACATCTGGGACTGAATCTTAAACTTACATTGGATCAATGACAGATTAATCTCTTCTAAGTATTATTTTAAGACTAAGTAAGTAATTGTTTCGCGAAAGGCCACAGTGGACAAAAATCTAAAATACCTGTCTCTGGGATATAAAATGTCCTAATTGTAATAAAGGAAGGTTTCTAAAACCGGTGAAAGTCACAATAGATGCTGCCCCCAATTTATACAGAAAGCCACTGAATAGTGAAACAGGCTATAGTATATCAGTGAGTGTACATACATTTACATTATAGTGAAATAGGCTATAATATTGTAGTGTACAGTCATTTAATGAGGTAAATATTGGTTATATATGTATATATGTATAATTATATTAACACCTATATATATATACAAGTTTAAACAAAGCCACACACTATGAACATTTACAAATACTGCAAAAAGAAACCCCAAGAAATTATTATAAGCAAGAAATTAATGTATCTAATTACTTCATGTCTCATTAATTTCATGTAATTTCTCTCGGAAATAATTTCTTGTTTCTCAATAATGTAAACTAAGTGTAGTCTCTGTAACCCAGCTTACGTATAGTCTCTGCAACCCAGGTGTCTCATTTACAGTATAATATATCACACTCACTTGTAGTCTCTGTGACCCAGGACACACGTTTTACAGTGACATTTATCACACTCATGTGTAGTCTCTGTAACCCAGGACACTCTTTTTACAGTAGTACACATCACACTTAGCATAGGCTCTGTTACCCAGGTCTTTAATGTTTGTCATATTTACATGCCATAAAGGATAAAATTTGTATTTTCAAGCAATTAACCATAAAACACAATAAATTAACGAATGGGAACAATTAATTTATGCGTTAACTTAACAATTGAGATGACCATTTCCTTGAAAAAAAAATGCTGTACTATTCTGAGATATAAAAAAATGACAGACTGTCAAAATGTTGAAGAAAGAGTCCTATTGAATCGACAACTTCAAGAAACAGCATTACATGTACTTTATCAGTATTACCTACATGTTTTAATATTACCCTTCTGTCTACAGTAAAATAACATGGTTGGCCTATTTATTAGCATTATACTTGTTAATATCATTACCCTTCAGTCTACATTATAACAGCATGTTTGGCCTATAACTCATCAAGGATACTGGAAATATATCAGATTACTTATTTCCACCCCTTGTCTGTAATTACAATTAACTCCTCGGCAATTACAAATCCATTTCCCAGTTAGCCTCGGTCTAGGAACATTTACACAAGTCTTGCTAGATTGACAAACTTATGTGTGGTAGTCTATGATTGGTTAAGAGATTTCTGTGATTAATCAAATAATCTGTAGCAATGCAAATTATGATTTTTCAGAGTGTTCAAAGTACCGAGTATGTCGACCCTGTATATCTATATTGAATATATCTTGAAATTTCTGTTTACTGGTAGTCAAGATTTCTGTATAGTCAGATTTCTGTATACTGTTAAACGAGTCACATTTTCTGCATATCAGCATATCAGTACACTTGTCAGATATCTGTATACTGGCACACTAGTCAGATTTCTGTCTACTGCCACACTAGTCAGTTTTATTATAATGTTAATGATGTATCAGGATGATATTATCATAAATTGCACAAGATTCAAAATTATGCTATAAAAAAATATACAAATAGCAGGGATCACATTTCATATCAAGTCATTATTCACATGATATTCGAATATTCCATCCAAATTGAAATGAAGGCTTTTGGTCCACTTTCCAATTTCCATTTCATGATCTGTCTTATCTATTTTTAAATATTAGTTGACTTCAGAGAATATAAATATCAAATTAAGTTATGCTGCATCGTTAAGTTTCTCCAATTACCATGTCATATAATCTGTCTACATAAACTCTAAAAGTGATCCTATGGGTGGGGGTGGGGTGGGGGGAGAGTACTTGTGAGTGCATTGCAATGTTGTGGCACCGTTCTGAGTTGTGTCACTATCTGTTTATGACTTGTTTTATCAGAGGAGTTCTGTATGTAAAATGTCTTTCTAGAAATAATAAGTAGGTCACACTAATCTAGAGTTTGGCACATCACGGACACCTAAGGCACTTGGCTAAAAAAACAAAAGAAAACATTTTTTATGGATGTTAAATCTACATTAATTTATAGAAACAATCAAGCTTGTAACTTACATGTAAAGCTGTATGAGAGATTGTAATGAAGTGAAAAGGGGTTCAACGTCTACCTTTCTGCTCCAACTGGGCTAATGAAGACAGGTATACATCATACAGTCTGCTTTGAGGGAAATTTTGCCCGGACATGCTACTGCGGCCTACTCGTATATCGAATTCTTACTGCCAATGGATATTTTACATGCACTCCAATGTATACACAGGATCTCAGTATTTCATCCCATTCAAATGGCTAGACAGCTGTCCTTGTCAGGCTTAAAGCTTAAAATTTTTATTGTAAACTAGTTCCCTTGATATATTATCCTATATGGTGGTGTTGACATGACACCTGAAGTCTTATATTATGTAGAGTATACGAGTGATGGTCTCTGTAGCCAGACGTACATGTAGTCGAATATTTCTTAATTAAAGAGGCATTATGTGAGATTTAGAGAAAGAACTGATCGTTCTTCAAAATGTCAGTCAGACTCAGATGACATTATTCCGAGTGAAGTTATGAACGGCTAATTTTATCAAGTTTCAGACAGTGGATGCAATTAAATTTATATTATTTTTAATCCAAATAAGACATTTAATACATAACAGTAGAAAGCTGTGTATCACTCTATTCTCTGGCCTTTTATCGGCAGTCTCGGTGAGTTACCTCCAGAATTTTCGGAAATTTTTAGCATGCTTGGTCATTTAAGCATTTAACACAGATATGGTAGGCAGTGTCTAAATCACTCAATATCTAAACCATCTGATTAATGTTAATTACGGGCTTAACATGTAAACAAATGTCTAAATTATAATTCATATAAACTTGAAGGGAGTGGGGTCTTATATTGGCTAAGTCTGTTCCCCAATTCCATTCCGATATCCTGAATAAAAATATTGTTTAAAAAAAACAAATACTTGAAGCCAGAAAAACGCCATGCAAAAGCTAAATTCAACACTTGCATAAAGCCTCTTTGATGACATCCAGAATGTGCTGGCTTCTTTACATTGGTTACCTGCTGAGGCGCAAGTCAAATACAAACTACTAACATTAGTGTATAAATGTCGCAATTAATGCAGCTCCTCAATACTTATCTGAACTCTTATATGCCTACAACCCTATTAGATCACTTCGCTCTCAAAATAAACAGTCACTAGTTGTTCCAAGATATAATTTAAAGTCACATGGGTATAGGTCTTTCAGTTCAGCTGGTCCTAGATTATGGAACGAACTTCCACAACAGATCAAGAATCAACAAACTTTTAATCAATTTAAATCCGCACTAAAGACTTTCCTGTTTCGACAGTTTTACCAGTAGAGCCATTACAAAAAGCGTTTTGAGCATGTGTTCACATGGAGAAGACGCTATATAAAACCTCATTATATATATATACTCTAAAGATAGGTTGCCAGGCAACGAAACATACGCCCACAGCAACTAAATTGTCCGGGCAGTCAACAAGGGTTGTCGCATATTTTTACTTTTTTCGGTAATGAAACATTTATAATACACTAAAATCTGATTAAGAGCAACAACTCACGAAGTAATTATCAGAAAACTATTAGAATTTGTTTGGTTTTTATAAAGTTCTGCCCCATGCTAACATTTTGTATGCAAAGCTTTTAATATCATAGATTTAACTGTTCAAGTCATAAAAATTCATTGAAAATCAATATACTTGTTCGTCTCAAGATCTTAAACTCTGTGTATCAATCTGAAGTCAATCGGATGATAACTTAAGGGCCATAACTTTGGCAGTAATTATCGGAAATCGTTGAAAATCAATAGGAATCTTCGTCTCATGACCTCAAACACTGTGTATAAATTTAAACTCAATCAGATATTAACTTAAGCCTCAAGAGCATCCACAAGATTTTTTGAAGTGATCAAGGGCCATAACTCTGGCAGTTATTATCGGAAATCGCTGAAAATCAATAGGCTTCGTCGCCTCCATACTCCTCGCAGTGTTTCGTTTGATTAGAGCTAATCCCACTACTCACTGCTGTAAACAAAGCAAATTCTTGTTCTAAATTATGACTGGTCAATAGTCCGATTAACAACCAATAGCTTACTGCGTAACAATACCAAACAAAGCTCCAAATTGGACCAAATATGTTTACATAACGTTACGTCATGACGATCGATTTTATTATGCCCAATTAACAGGTGCATAGCAGAATATTACAGAAAAACTAATTGTGTGACAAACAAGGCCATCAACTGTCAACACGATTTTTACTCGGTGGATATCATGTAAACGATATTGTTTTGAGACGAACAACATTTTCACTGTTTCTAATACCTTAAATCACTGTCAAAAGAGGGATTTCTCGGGCCATTGCTTCAGGAATATGCTTCGCCTCATGACCTTAAACACTGTGTATAAATTTAAAGTCAATCGGATATTAACTTTGGCCTTTAGAGCGTCCACAATATTTTTTGAAGTGATCAAGGGCCATAACTCTGGCAGTAATTATCGAAAATCATTGAAAATCAATAGGCTTCTTCGTCTCATGACCTCAAACACTGTGTATAAATTTAAGGTCAATTGGATATTAACTTTGGCCTCTAGAGCGTCCACAAGATTTTTCAAAGTGATCAAGGGCCATAACTCTGGCAGTAATTATTGGAAATCGCTGAAAATCAATAGGCTTCTTCGTCTCAAGACCTTAAACACTGTGTATAAATTTAAAATCAATCAGATATTAACATTAGCCTCTAGAGCGTGTACAAGGAATTGTGGACGCCGAACCGACGGACGGATGGACGGGGGCGACGACAATATACGACCACATTTCAATGTGGGCGTATAAAAATCCCATATAACTTACCAAGGGTTCTATAACTAGGGGATCATCGTAAGATGAATGATCAATAGGTCCATCAGCTCCATCATCAGTCTCACTGTCTAGTAAGTTAGCTGTTGAAGGTGCTGACTGTTCCTTTAATCTTTATACAATCAAGGAATAAAATCATACAAATGTCTCATTGTAAAAAATTGAGTTATATCAGCCTGGAATTGTCACAGACATTGCCAGTCGAAAATATATGTCCAGACTTGTTATATATGTTGTGATAATTAAGCATGACAATCATCGTGTCATGCACCTTGTCCTGACAATGTCTGTGAAATGTGCCTTAAGTCCTGACAATGTCTGTGAAATGAGCCTTATGACCTGAAAATATCCGACACACACCTTATGACCTGAAAATGTCTGTGACACACGCCTTATGACCTGAAAATGTCTGTGGCACGTGTCTTATATTAACCATTACATTGTTATTTAAACTATAAACATTCTTATGGAAAACAGCTACTGATTTATTTAGGTGACATTTTGAAGAGTATTCTCTCAACGTTTTCAAACTAATACTCTTCGAAACGTCGCCTAAATAAATCAGTAGTTGTTTTCCATAAGTATGTTTATATACCATATATTGTTATTGTTGAATTACACATTCAACAAGCCTGAAAATAGAAAGATTTTAACTGTACCAGACATAATATCAATAAACGGTCAGACAAAAGACAAATCTGTTATAGACAATATGACAGGCACCAGGGTGAATTTCTCTGAAAAAGCCTGAATTTGTTCCTGACAATGTCTGTGACAGGTGCTTTATTCCCAGATTTGACATTCAGGGTTTTAGTGTTTTTGAAGGATACATCTGTTTTGGTGATTTTTTTCTTCGAATACTGGTGAATCTTCGTGCTAGAGCAGTAAACTGTTTTCTTGAAGCTAAAAAAAAAAGATTATTTTATGCAGTTTCATCCCCTTTTTGGTTTTTTGTATGTTATTGACATTAACAATATAAAGCAGTGGATTTATAACATCTGTAGCTGACATCTAGTTAATCAATAGATACTTTGTCTTGGGTTAAAACATTTCAAAGATTAACTTCAGGGTAACTCAATTAATACATCAAAACGTATTAATCAAGAAAACATGTACTGGTGACAAGGCATGCGCCAACTGAATACTATTTGAGGTCTGCAGAATATATTTATAAAAGTTGAATGGAGACATTTCCCATAGTACAATCTCTATTAGAACAGCCAGACATCAAAACTATTTCGGTTTTAAACAAAGAAGGGACAACTGGGACTATGCGTAGACCCAACAAAATATCAGCATAAATAAAGACCTGATTTGAAATGGATGTTCAGACGTACATGTACAATCGTTAACTACCGAGAGTAATTAAACAGACTGTCCAATATAGTAAAATATCATTTTAAGCAGGGGTTTAACGTTCTACTTTTCAGTACCAATTGGGTTAATGAAAACGGACACATGCCATACAGTGTGCTATGAGGGAAAGTTTGCCAGACAGCAGCATTTATGCATACTCTTCATCCAATTTCAACTGTCAGGTTCTTTTACGTACAAAACAAAATGTGTACGGTCCTTGGTTTTTCGTCCTACTTCAAACGTCTTGGTTTTTATCTGACAAGGGGAAACCACTCTGTACCACTGACAAGGGGACACCATTCTGTACTGCACCACTGACAACACCAGTTTAGTAAACGGCTCAGTTTTCATCTGTTCCGCTTTACTGACAAGGGAACACCACTATATACTGCACCACTAACAACACCAGGATCACAGTCACCATGGTAAAATATATAAATATTAATTTACTGACCTTTGCCCATATGCTTGAGTTTTGTTCGTAATTCTTCATCTTTATCAGTTCGTGGTGGAAGCTGTTGACTAAACGGAAACGCTTCTAGCGTCGTCTGATGATCCTCGCCGTACCCAACTACAGTAAATAAAGTATATCATATTGTCATGTAAAGGAATTGTTCTCTAAAAATCTAAAATTAAAAATCTATATAGTGGCGTAGCCCTCCCAGATTCTTCTCTAAAAGAGAGGAATGGGGTTTACCGTCCACTCAAAATAAACTATGTAATTTCAGGACTAACATATGGTATAATTTTATATCTTATTCACACTATCGATGGAGAGACTGGAAAACCTGACTGCCAATATATTTATATATATATATATATAATATTTACCATGTTTAGCCTCATCATCAGAGGTTGGACCTGTTGCTATTGGCGACGGTAATGGAGGTTCAAATGCTGACATATTCAGACGATCTGAAATAAAAGTAGTTCAATAATATTATTGACTTGCTGTATTGTCAGATCTATTTTGTTTCGATGGCCTCCATGACATGAAGATCTGACCGGTTGTAGTGGGAGGTTATGTCAGGGGTCATGTGAGAGACTATTGACCCCATGACGTCAAGACATTTGATTAAGCATTCAGCGTTGATGTTTCTGGTGAGATACCCAAACTACAAATACAGATCTATATTTTGTTTCGGTGGCCTCCATGACATGAAGATCTGACCGGTTGTAGTGGGAGGTTACGTCAGGGGTCATGTGAGAGACTATTGACCCCATGACGCCAGACATTTCATTAAGCATTCAGCTTTAATATTTCTTGCGAGATACCCAAAGTTCCGTGCACTGCATACCCAGAACTCGTCGCAACAGACTGTTTCATTGGCTAATCCCTCACATCAACCAGAACATGGGTTACATAACAACTCTTCCATATCTTAGTGTAGTAAAACCAAGTAAAACAAATTTTGAACTATAAAAACGAAATGAAATCTGATCTGTGTTTTAATCAGATTGTACATCCATCACAATTCACATCACAGAAAACTCACCACTTTCTAAAGTGTTCATAAAATCTTCATTATTTCTCAGTTCTTGTAGAAATTCACTATTTTGTATCATTAACGCTAATCTCTCATCGGCTAGATATTGGGCAAGTTCAGGGTCGGGCACATGACATGTCATACGACGTCTTCGTTCGTTCTCCTTCATTTTTTCTTGTAACATGTCTGTACTAAACTCATGTGTTGTAAACAACTGAAAAATTAACATAATGAAAAAAAGTGTTTAAAAATAAAAAAAAAATAAAAGATTCTTTTTAAATGGGAGGAAACCAGAGGGCTCGGAGAAAACCCATGAGGTTGGACAAACGACCCCAGCCGAGATACATGTAGTGCCAAAAATTAAGAATTAAACCCTATTTCATTTTATTTAAAGGACAATGGTGCCATCCATCTATTTTATGTGCTAAAATAGTTTAAAGATACTTTTTCATGAAAGTATCTATAGGATAGTTGTTTCCAATACAAGTATGGCAAATTTGGTATACCGGTATATGGAAGGGGATACTCAGTCTTAAAAGAAAAATACTACATACAGTCGATTCCCTAAAAACACCCATGGGGTGCCCACAGAACATAAATGTGAGGGTATCACTAACTGGTATATAACCTGTCCACTTATTGTCTGCTGGAGTGACGTAAGGGGCGCTTTGTATGTGTTTATTGAATGGCAAGCGATTGTGAGAACAATGAAAGATTTAAACTTACAGCAGATCGTACTATTAAAAGACAGAAAAAGATCTTAGTTAAGACTTCTCTTTAACATTGTTTCTACTTCCTACTCAAACAGTAATAATAATAATAAAAAAAACTTTATTTAATGAGGAAATTTATTTAGTTTGCAACAACTAATCTTCCGTAAGTCCCTCCAAAACTACCCACGCTAAAACAGCCTTATGTATAGATGTGAATGCAAATATCGATGAGGATCTATCCAAAGCCTGACGAAAATTAGGATCAAAAGGCATTTTTTTCCGATAATTCTGACAGTGAACTCTGATTGAAGGTTTTCGGTATGTTCAGAGAAGGATTTGACCGACTGTTTTAAGTGGACTGTACCCAAAAATACTTTATAAAGGAACTCTTGGGCGATAAATACTTTCAAGTCTAGGAGTGTGTGGAAATTCTGAAAGATATCTTAGACATGGAGTATGGATAACCGATTTAAATATGCCGATAAGTACGCCCTCTATTTCGGTCCTGAATGTTAAAACTGTACCATAACAATTTTTAATTGTCAAATGAATAAAAATTTATTTCTGTGTTCTATGTATTATTTCGATCATCTACGTCATCATAGGTTGATATGAGCCGAATATATCAACCTGAGATGACATCATTAGCGGTTGATATGAAATATCAACCTGTCATGACGTCATCAGCGGTTGATATGAACGAATATATCAACCTATGACGACGTCATGACAGGTTGTTATGAGATATAACTGCTATGGACATCACAGAAAAAACTACCGCCGGTTGTATATCTATCTATATTGGTTTGAACTCATCGTGGCTGTGACAAGTGTTGATCTATACTAATTTAAACTTACCCTGGCAGGCTGTGAATGATGTCGTACATGACGTTCCGACTGGCTACGTCGAACCGAACTACTTTTCTTTGGCAGTGGCATGGAAGAATTTACAACAGGCTTTGGTGGGGCAACAGACAGGCGTAGAAAATCGTCAGGCAAAGTTCCGAGCATAGGAGGATTCCAATTTCTGTACATTCGTGATTTACTTGAGATTGAGGCAGATTTAGACGTTGATTTTGAGTATGATGGCGGTTTCGTACAAACCGAGGCCGATGTGTGTTTGTTTGGCGGTCTTAAAGAATGCCACGAAACATGATCCGGTAAATCTGGCATTGTTGCTGGACTTCCCCACAAGGGGGCAGTACTATTAGTCGTTAATATAGGATTACTCCAGGTTGATGTTATCGGAGTTTTTAACTCAGTATTTGATAACGCCAACTCATCTACATCCAATTCTGAAAGAAAACAAATAAATAAATCATGACAATTATACAGAAGAGTACTTGTCATTTTCCTTAAATAAATTCAACAAATTAAGATTTAAATAGCAATCTACAAAAAAACTTAGATCCATGTCATCTTAATTCCAATGTTGATAGATAGAAACATGTTATTCTTCAGCAGAAATTGGAACTTTTGACGTGTTCTGCATTATTCAAGCTGCCCAAAGCAAAGGTTAAAGACCAATATTTATTCCAGACAAATATTTGTGAGAGTTGAATTGAGAGAGAGAGAGAGAGAGAGAGAGAGAGAGGGGGTGTTTAACGGCCACTCCACACAAACTAGGTCATTTTTGAACTAACATATAGATCAATTTTATTTCAATAATTTACTTGCGCTAAGTGGGAGGAAACTGGAGGAAACCCACGGGGTTGGACAGGTGAACCTACTCCTTGTCACGTACAACTAGGGAATCGAAACCCTGTCAGTTGGCTCAATGACAGACCTTATGATACAACACGCACGCGCTAACCATTCGGCCATCCACCCCCACCGCTGGGTCAATTTGGACTGGAGTGATTAAAACAACACACTATGTCATTTAAAGATACATTATGGTAGTTCTCACCATAATAGATAAAAACTAGATAATGTAAAGGGAATTTGCTGAAAATTTCAGTCAAATTGATACACCCTGAACCGATAATTTAGTGATTGAATTTGGGACCTAGCCTCGATAATCATTACTAAAGTCGGTAGGATAAAAAACATAGTCTTGATTATCCATATTTTTGGTTTAATAAGCAGCAGCAGACTGGGTTCTAATCCACTAAATATAGCAGGCTAGCGATGATTATGGTCTGGATAAGTTAATTAATGTCTAATTAATAATTCAGATTACGTTTCAGGCCTAAAGAAAGACCTGCAATTGGCAGATTTAGCTCTTGCATAACGTATGTTTATATATTTACCCAGAAGACTAGAAGATGGTGAATCTGTTGCTTGTCTAAAAGTTGTGAGCATTGTAGGTTGTGTTTTACTTCCTGATTTCCGCGGAGTATTAGAGTGTGATCTACTTCTTGGAGGTTCTGCTTGTAGCGGAGGTGACTGAATGGCTTCTGAATATGATGGGGGCGACTCCAGATTAACTGGTAGCCTTGTTCCATTGACTTCTGACTGCTGCTGTTTAGACGAGCGTTTGGATTTCTGAAGAAGTATAAAAATACATGGTTATGCATTAGGATTATAAATGTACATAAATTATTTTTTAAGTCTGTCAGTACGCATCATGTTGTATAAGTACAACACACTGTAATAAAAGAAAAGAAATGAAATGAAATGGGGTTTAATGTCCTAATGTTCTGCTCCTACCGGGCTAATGAAGACGGGCATACACCATACAGACGGGCATTTTGCCCAGACAGCGGCACTACGGCCTACTCTTATATCGAATTCCAACTGTCAAGGGATCTTTAGCGTGCACGCCAATGTGTACACGGGATCTCAGTTTTTCGTCCCATCCGAACGAATAGACAGCTGTCCTTGTCAGGCCCTCTGTCCTGCATCACAGACAAGGGGGAACCACGTCGGAAAATCTGGATGATTATAATAATAGAGTTGATTTCTAAACCTGGTGATTAAATTAACAATTCTACATTATTTTCAGTGACTCTGACTATGACAGGCCAATCTAATGAATTTTTGTTCTTCGGAACCATCTATTAAACATACATTATACAAGAGCTAGATCTGCCTTTTGCAGGTCTTTCTTTAGGCCTAAAATGTTTTCTAAATTATTAATTAGACATTAATTAACTTATCCAGGCCATAATCAACTCTCGATGGCATCAGATTTCTCCGATATTAAATAGATTAGAACAGTTCAGCCATATTTTGATTTAAGCTAAAAATGGAGGAGCGAGACTTAGCTTCGAACAACTAGTATGGTAGTTGAAATTATTGCACACATCTTGTCAAACCTTCAAAGGCTAATACCTTCGCTCGCAATAGAGTAATTTGAATGAAATTTTCAAATTATTCATTTTACATTATCTATTTTCGAACTATTATAGCAAGAATGGCTAGTTCCTTATCTAAATCTTACATAATGTATCTTTAATATTTTCCTTCGTATTATTTGAGGGGAAAAAATAATTTAAAAAAAAAAACAATTTAGTTGCTCTTCTCAAAATTTTTAAGTTCAAATTTTTAGGTATAGAAATTTTAAACGAGACTTGTGTGGGTATTTACTTATCAAGGTCCCAAACAACTACAAATTAAATTGCTTTGGCTTTAGCATGTAAAAAATGGTACATGCATGAATGAATTACAGAAACTTTCCACCATTCTGAAAATATATTGGTTTTGTAGGGTTTGGAATGATTAAAAGATTTTTGACGTTATGAAGGATTTATAATCAGCAAAAACAGGGACTATATTAAATTCTGATGTCATGCAAGGCTGAAATCTATTCAAATAGAATTATCGTGGCCTAGGTCCAAGGAGAAGGATGAGGTTTTACATGTTCTCCTAATCCCATTTTCACAATATCCCTGAATGAATATATTGTTTACACATTTCAATGTGGGCGTATAAAAAGATGTACTATCGTACACTTGACAAAGCTTTGATTCTATTCTGCACTTACAGATTTACTGTGTCCATGTTCTCTGTGACCATGGTGACCGTGTCTATGGTGATGATGGTGGTGGTGACTATGGTGATGTGATGACCCATGGGTACTTGGCATGTCAGGTGACCAGTGAACATGTGTCTGTTCCAAAGTCTCGTTATCAATACTCATAGTCAAGAGTTGATCGATCGTAGCATCGACGATACCATTATTCGCTCGTAGGACAGCTTCAATTATTTCTATGTCCATATTAGGAAACATGGTCTTGAAGTCGGACATAGCTTGGTGGAAATCAAGCTGTCGGGTGGGACGACCTCTAGGTGTCGATACTGAGCTACTGCGCTCGTGAATGCTCCCTGGAGAGAAATCATTTTCATTGCGCCTTAGTTCGTCGTGGGAGGGTGGATTGGAAAGATTTTCCGTGTCTGCCATCAGAGGAAGTTTTCAGGAGATTTCAAACTGATATTCAGGAAGACTTCCGCATTTTCAATTTCTGTCTGAAAAAAACAAAATTCAAACATTTTAAAATGACACTGACTTCTTTTTGTTTAAAGTTAGCCACAATAAAAAATAAAAAAACACACATTGACATTTTTTTTTATCATAATATGGATATACATGTATTTCTCTTCAGCTTGTCCACTCAAAATTTTACAGTTCCCTTTTGCATTACTTTCTAGATCTTTTAATCCAATCAGGCCTGCAAATTGGCCACCTGCCACTAACAATGTCTGCAAAAGATCAAGCCATTGTCAATGCCTCCGATCAGAGGGCGCAGTGGATCAATTTCGAGTTGCGTAAAAATACGCAGACATTCCAAACTTTTGCGGTTTTGCCGTCTACATCTGCGTGACTTAGAGCCTCTCAAAATACTCAATATAGAAGCATGTAAAGTTATTTTGTGAAAAACCCTATTTTAAGCGTCCTTATATCATTGATAGGACTACGGTATTTAGTCTAATGACGGGTGAAGCACATAAATTGTACAAACTACGACATAGAATAATCTAATTTTCTCACGTAAGGGAAATTTTCTGCACGTAAATTACGCAGCGTCCGTCAATATTTGCATTTATTTTGAAAAAAATGTGTGAAATACGCTGATTTTTGCGTGACTGCGACCTCTGCCTCCGATGCCTGACAAGTCACGCCAAGGCTTGAACAATTCTGACAGTTCTTCTCAGCAGTAAATATTCAAACCTGTGACTCCGGTTGAGGGTCCCATGGCCCTGACTGCTCGACTAACACTGTCTCTACATTAATAAAAATAGAGGCTAATCATTAACCTCTGTTTTTCTTTCAATCTGAGCGACTGGACGCTGTCCATGTCAGGCCCTCCGTCCTGAACCACTGACAGTGGAACTTTCTCGACCAAAACCGGAAGCGTACCAGAGACCAGCTCGTTAGCGAGCGAATGTCTTACGCTCTGAGTCACTGCGGCTACGATTAAAATAGAGGCTAATCAATAACTATGATGACATGTAAGCGAAAACAAAGACATCATTATCCTACTTGCTTAATTCTGTTGTGAGTTGATCACAGTCATTTTTACTTTTAATACCGTATTATAAAAAGAGTAGCTTCTTATACAACTTTACATCACATTAATTTCATGAAAACAAAAAATCTAATATTTGGATGTATTTTACTTTATGACACTACTCCTTAAAACTTTACTTTAATAATGACAAATTATGCACGATGACAAATTATGCACCTATGACTAATTATGTAACTACGTATAACTGGCAGGGATAGACCAGGTCACAAAGGCGTACTGTTAACCAAAATAATAGACAACTCAAAACAATGAACGTTTTTACACAATTTTCATCCTTTAAAAATAATCTAGCATGATTTGTGGCTGTATCATATCTTAATATTGTTTTCAAGTAATTTTTATTTCCCCACTGTCCTGGATAGCATATATCCTAACTTATTTACATCCATTACTGAGAACTAAATTACCTAAAACTTCTTTTGTTCCATGCAGAAAAGAGAGATACATGTAACAAACCCCATTTTAATAACAAACCCCATTTTATTTATCCATTCTTCAATTCTACTGCAGATGGGAAATACAATTTTTAATAAATACCGGTAACGATTGTCCAATTTATAGATAGAAATCCATGCAGTGAAACTACATGTAGATCTTTGAAGATCTTTGCTGCATGTTTGATTTAAAACAATATTGCTGAGTTAGACATGTTTTTACTTTCAATTTACAACTTTTTAAGGGGTTTTTCGTGGAGTTTAACAAGCAATTGTAAACACTGAATGCCTAACACTAAGAATGTCAATTTGGGGACTTTTGATAATTCGATGTGTCAACACAATTTTGTTATAAATAAACGTTTATTTTCTTTGTAAGAGGATTAATATTAATAATTTCTTCTAATGTTGAATTCCCCGACAAGTTGTATGATACATGTACTTTACCTCTGTGTTGGTAACAAAAAATGAAATCTTGCTAGCTTCTTCACTTGTTTTTTAAGTAATGTGATCTTTTTAATTAATCAAATTACAAACAATAAAAACATTTGAAACATAAAATATTAAAGTCACTTGAGACTAGGTCTAGAGTTAGAGTGAGTACACACAACTAATCCCTCCAATCCCACATGTTGACAAACCTCAAACTAAATGGCATGCATATCTGAGTCACCAAACTGATAGCGATGGTCAAACAGGACGGTCAGTTAATTAGTTTGACATGGTGTCTGGTCAAAATCTGCTCGGTGAAGACCGAATTGATGCCACCTGTTAAAACCCCAATTCGCAAACTTCAAATATCTCAATCAAAACATATTTTTTCGTCAAAATTCTTCACATACTTACACTGTGTAGTCTAAATGAACAAAAAAACGGGATGAACCAGACAATTACGTCATAAGACTCGTAAAATTATTGAAGATAAACAACCTTTCATGTATTTCCACTTACAAATCTGTAAAAATAATATAAAATTAAAATTGGATGTCGGAAATCAAGCGGAACTAAAATTAGTATTTAATTTGATTTACTAAAATAACTAATGTAGCGAATCGGTAATTTATTGCTGAAATTAATACTAAATTATTATCTATATGTATATATAATTGTATACATCGTTAAATAATACACAATTGTTAGAATAAATACAGGACCAAATATATTTTATTTCGTTAAAATCGTTCAAATATAATTTTACTCTACCAAAGGGCAAGCTACTCTGTTAAAAATTTGTAGACTCGAATAACATGTCATTACAAAATATGTATGACAACGTGCAAAGTGTTGATTGTATTAAATGCTAAAAGTGATTAATTAATCTGGCGTTAATTGCCAATCATTTGTTGATTCTTTAATCACAAGATTAGGAGGGGCAGTGGCAGCAGATTAAAATATGGCTGGCAGCAGATTAGACAAATTTGGTACAATATTCAAAAGGTACAATGTTTCATTTCACTTCCTTCGATTCAACCTTTAATTTATTTAGTCATTTCTTTACATTATTTTCACGTGCCATTTTCCGATACTTGCCAGTTCAGTATACCTATAATTGCTATAATATAGGCTATGTATACTAAATGCTAGCTACGAGAACAGCTAAAAACGTTGACATATACTGATGTGTTTGTATTTTTAGCTACGATTGGTTTCACCTGGCAAACTTAATTGATTTATTATTAATGCATAACATAAACATCTTAAGAATACAATAAATTAATTTTATACTATTAGAACTAATTAAACATACTCAGCCCAATGTAGTGACACAAGTTTCGTTTATCAGCAAATATTGTCAGTAAAGTTAATCAAGCAGTGTTTAAACATAATCGGATGGCCATGCATAATTATGGCGGAGCATTAATTAGTCATGTGCAAGCCTGGAAATAAGGCACCTGTCACTGACAATGTCAGATTCAGGCTTTGTCAGGCACTAAAAATCTGGTGCCAGTCATTTTTTCTGGCACTGATTTGTCTTTTTTATTGATATTATTAATAAATATCCGGCACTAGTTGAAAATGTCAGGTACTATTTCATTATATTAGTGCCTGACATTTTGTCAGGTAGGCCTACATGTAAAACTGTTATTTCCAGGTCTGGTCATGTGCAACCCTTAAACTTCTTAAAGATTCTCTGCTTGTGGTTTTATGTCCATTATCTTGATTGGCTATTGTACACGATCTATATTTAGCCCCGCCTTCATGACATTATGACACCAAACCTATTCCGTTTTAAAAAGCCAGCTTGTAACGCTTAGATTTAAAAGTGATGATTTGTAACTGTGTCATGGAGGATGATGATATGTTTTATTGTAATTGGATGTTGGATGTTGGATGTGAGAGTAATGCAAAGAAAATGAAATGAAATGGGGTTTAACGTCCTATACTGGGATAATGAAGACGGGCATACGCCATACAGTGTGCTGTGAGGGAAATTTTGCCTGGGCAGCGGCACTATCGCCTACTCTTATATCGAATTCCAACTGCCAAGGGATCTTTTACGTGCATTCCAATGTATACATGGGGTGACAGTAATGCAATAAATAACAATAATCATTCATATTTTGAAGAAAAAAATTGAGAGAGAGAAATGGGGTTTGACATCTACTTGACACAAACTAGGTCATTTTGGGACTACCACATGGTTCAATTTATTTCAATAATTAGCTTGTGCTTAGGGGTCTTTAGCAGTGGAAGGAAACCGGAGGATCCTGAGAAAACCCACGAGGTTGGACAGGCGACCCTACTCCTTGTCATGTACAACCAGGGAATCGAATGACAGAGCGCGCTCAATGACAGAGTGCGCTTATGTGCGCTAACCATTCAGCCATCCCCCCCACCCATCTGGCATCTCGAGACATGCAGGGTTGAGAGAGGAGGTTTCTTATCTAACTAAATGTCAGTACAATTTAGAATAATGACAGACTATTTGAATAGTAAGAAACTCATGTGACGACTTCTAAACAACAGTAAATAGCAAATCTGAACTGGAGAAATTTTCCTCAGACAGCAGACTTTAGATTGACAAATCTTCTTTGGCTTTACAATATGGTCATATTATTCTTTTAGGTGTATTCTCAATGAGGACACAAATGACATTTTCTGAACCCTGACAATTCAAAATGACTTCAATTTAACGTGTTTGTAAACATTGCGAGAATAATCTTCGATACATGTCCTAAATAAATCGGGGGGTTAGATGGTCGATTGGTTAGTGCATGCGCGTTTTATCATAATGTCTGTCATTGAGTCAACTGGCTTGGTTTCGATTCGCCAGATGTATGTGACAAGGAGTAGGGTCGCCTGTCCAACCTAATGGGTTTTCTCCGGTTTCCTCCCACAGCTAAAGACCCCTACGCACAAGCAAATTATTGAAAGAAATAAATCAGTAATTGTTCTTCCATTAAATATATATTATAGGTTATGTTTTGTTTCCTTACAGAGTTCAAGGTTTATTAAAATCTGGGGCCTGGAGTAAAGTTGATCGTCCCCTTTGGTATGATGTTTATGAAAAATTCCCTCCAAGAGTTGCTCCCCTTTATGAAAGACCTGTACCTAAAGACAAAGTACGGCCAATTTTGTATCCAGAGGATATTCTCAGAGTGTTAGTATCTCATATTATCCTAGTTCCTTTTGGAATGGTCTCTGACAGACAAAGTCCTCTGATCGTTCCTTTCCATTTTTAGTTAGCTGTAATATAAAATGAATGAAATTACTACTCTAACCCCACCTCTGTTCTAAGGTTAGTTGGAAGTCCTTGCCCTCACTTTTTTACTGTAATTCTTAAGTGTTTGCCCAAATTGGTGTAAGCTGTCGCAAGAGATGATTCCTTTTGGCAAACAAAGAAGAATTACGGTGAAAAAGAGGTAATAAAAAAGGATTAAAAAAACCCTCAGAACAGAGGTGGTGGTACAGCGGTATTTTCATATTGCAGCTTAGTAAGGACAGACAGGAATGCACAGAGGACTTCGTCGATCAGATTAGATTAGCAATAGAAATGTTATTTTCAGTGTAGGCTACCAATCATTAAAGTTCATCGTTGATATCTTTCAGGCTTCATTACATGTATCTGTTTTGAAGATCTAGCGCTGTTTTACAACTTACAAATTATTTGGAAATTGATACCCTCCATGGTTTTTAATAAAAATACTTTTTATGGTGTACAGTCTAAAATTATATATTTAATCTTTGGACCAAAATAGTTTTAAATAAAAACTAATAAAAAAGTACTTTAGATTGTGTACACTCTAAAACTCTATATTTAAACTTTGAACCAAAATGGCTATAAATAAAAGTACTTTTGGTTATGTACAGTATATGTAACCTTTCTGACTTTACATGTAAATTGGCCGTGTGTTTCTGTTTTCAGACAATTTCATAAAATGTATGGTAATATGCAATTAGAGGATTTAGCTACAGAAGATCCGAAGAGTAAGACAAACTGTCAAAAGTAATTAGTTTTGTTTTTTAGTGTCTAATCTGAATCTTCTAACTTTGTTGGGTTGCTGAAGGGTTAACGCATGCATTTTGGGTCAGAAGGTCTGTCATTGAGCCAAGTGGTGTGGTATCGATTCCCCGCTTGAACATGACAAGGAATAGGGTCACCTGTCCAACCTCATGGGTTTTCTCCAGGACCTCCGGTTTCCCACTGCTAAAGACCCCTACAAGCAAACAAATTATTGAAATAAAATTGAAGCATGTGTTAGTCCTGAAATGACTAATTCTCCTTCCCTGACTTTGATAGATATTTTTTGACCAGCAATATATGTCAATATGTTCAATTACTTACAAATGTTTTTCAAACATGTCAGATTTTAAAAATCTGCTTTTTTCATATTCATTTCCTGTTGCTATGTCTGAATGATTTTTGATTTTAGGAGGTGATTTGCTTGGAGTCAAATAATTGGCTGTTTAAAATTAGATCAATTCCTAGCCACCCCGCAAAACATTCGATTTGGCAACTTTTGTTTCCAGAAAACGTAAGGTTCATGTACATGCATTATGCAACATTGTGAAAAATTCACTTAAATGTGGCGTTTAGACGACTAAGTGGCCCCTTCCCAGTACATGGAACAATATGTTAGTTTCAGCCTAGAAAAAACCACATGTTAGTCTCGGTATCTGTATTTTATTAATTATATTTTAGATTTATTGACAAGTATATGGAATTAACGGCAATGGAATCTCCACCAGATGATGTTTTTCAAGCTGCGATTGCTTCTTTAGACTTCTATGGAAAACCATTACAGACAAAAAAGGTTTACATTTTAATTTAACACTCCAGTGTGTGACATGCTGCTTTAATAGTCAAAACCATGTATTCCCCCTTGTACGTGACAAGGAGTAGGGTTTGCCTGTTCAATCTCATGGGTTTTTGCCAGGTCCTTCATTTTCCTCCCACTGCTAAAGACCTGTACCAAATAAAATTGAACCATGTTAGTCCCAAAATGATGTGTAGAGTATACTTTAAACCCCATTTCTCTCTCTTCCTCCACACGAGTAGCCTGATGTAGGAGAAAACCTGGACAGGCCCACCATCTAAACCAAAACACTTGACTTGCTGATAAATATTATGATATATAGTTGCCAGCCTGCCCACCCATGTGATCTACATGTATAACTGCCACCCCACCCACTTGTGTGATCTACATGTATAGCTGCCACCCCACCAACTCGTGTGATCTACATGTATAGCTGTCACCCACCTACCCACCCCTGTGATCTACATGTATAGCTGTCACCTACCTACCCACCCCTGTGATCTACATGTATAGCTGTCACGCACACCCCTGTGATCTATAGCTTCCATCAACCCACCCCTGTGATGAGATGTAATATTTAATGTCGATATCTTTATTACAGGAAAGGAAGAACAGCCAAGAAATGAAAGGAAAATCAAATATTTCTGCGCTGAGTAATATTAATGAACTGTATAATGACGAAGAATATTATGTAGAAAATAAATTAGACATAGATATTACTGAACTCTTAGAAAACACAATAGAAGAAGATGATAAAAAACACTGGTGAAAGCTTGATTCTGATTGGCTGGGGTGAAAAACACTTGTGAAAGCTCGATTCTGATTGGCTGTGTAGAAAAACACTTGTGAAAGCTTGATTCTGATTGGCTGTGTAGAAAATATAAACTTTGTGAATGTTAGTTTGAAAATAGACTAGATTATCAAGACTAGTGAACAGAGCAGACAGGGAGTGTATGGAACAAGTGGCTGGATGTTCAAATGTTAGTCGGACTCTGTTACAATGTCTGGATAGGAAAACATAAATTGTAATCCTTTAACAATAAAAACTAATTTTAAATAATTTATTACACAAACCGAAAGAGCATAATAAAACATCAGACGCTGTGAGATAATACATGTGTATTTCTGCTTATTAGGGGCATACATGTATAGGATTTGCGTGGAAATGAAATGGGGTTTGACATCCTACTGTTCTGCTCCTACTGGGCTAATGACGACCAGCATAAACCATGCAGTGTGCTACCAGGGAAATTTTGCTTGGACAGCGGCACTATAGCCTACTATTAATTCGAATTCCAACTGTCAAGGTTTCTTTTACATGCCCTGATGGTAGGTTTCTGTAATTGACCAACACAGAACATGATAAATTATATTTAGTTTTTAGGTCCCACTATGGAGAGGAGGAGGGAAGAGAGGGAGAGAGTATACCATGAGTAGGCCCTATCAAGTATTCTGGTTTAATGTACCCCACAATATTTGATACTGGTGTATACTGAGCTCTTGAGTTGACTGCTATATTCTATGTCTCATGACGCCTGGCAATAGGGCACCTGCCACTGACAAGGTCTGGCACAAATTCAGGTTATGTCAGGCACAATTCCTCAGGTGCCTGTCTAGCTACGAGAACTTAACTAAAAATGCTGAGATATACTGATGTGCTTGTTTTTAGCTACGATTGGATGCCTTTAGTTCCAAGTGGCAAACTCAATTTCTTTATTAATGTATGTACCATCTTAAAAATAAGTTAATTTTATACTATTAGTACTTATTACACATACAGAGCCCAATCTACTGAAACAACATTCATTTATCAGCAAATATTGACAATAAAGTAAATCAAGCGTTGTTTTTATCAAAATTGATTCGGACGTTCATAATTACTGCGTATTACTACTGCGCAACTCTGATCAGATTAGTACTTTGGCTATTGCACACGAGGCCCCGCCTTTATGTGTTACAGGCGTAAATTTAAAATGTCGGAAAAAGCAATCTACTGTCGCTTTGATTTAAAAAGAGGGGATTTGTACCCATTTCAGGTAGGATTATATGCTTAATTGTAGTTGGGTGTGGCAGAAATGTTATAAATAACAATAATCAATCGTTGTTTTGCTTAAAAATATTGACAATTTTGTTTACAAATGCCGGGTGCGAATTGCTCCCGCATGTGCTAAGTTGAAGTTAATAGCACCATTTCTGATCTCGAAACATGGAGGGTTGAGAGATAAGGTTTGTTATCTAGTGCTTGTCCTGAACAGGCTTTTCTTTTTCAGTTCCATAGTCTGACATTTTGTCATGTGCAAGTATTTCAAAGCCTGGTGACCTAGTCCCATGTAATGAAATGATTAGCCTACGGAAGTGAGAGCTAGAGAGAAATGGAGTTTAACATCCACTAGACACAAACTATTTCATTTCAGGATCAACATATGAATCAATCTTTTTTCAACAATTTATTTGCATGTAGGGTTTTTTAGCAGTGTGAGGAAACCGGAGGACCAGGAGAAAACTCACGAGTTTGGACAGAACAGGCAATCCTATTCCTTGTCAAGTACAAGCAGGGAATAGAAGCCACGCCACTGATCCATTCGTGCCCCCCACCCCAAGTTCATAATAGTTTTTCTAACATATAAAAACTCTGAACCAGAAGTAAGGTTAACAAAAGATATCATAATTGATTTATTTTTTTACATAAAATATTTTATAAAACATGATATAACAAAAATATGGAGTTTTACATGCATTAAACAAAACACATCATTAAAGAAGTTTATTTTTACTTCATCTTTCAGGTACTACGATTCAGAACAAGACATAGATTTAAGGCAAGTTTTAACTAATTGAAAGTAGAAATCTTTGGGGACCATCACTTATCCCAAGGATTTGTCACCTATCCACTGAGATCTTAATTAATCCATGGGATCGAAAACAATCCACGGTAATCGTCAATAATCCATAGGGATCTGTATTAATCCACAGGGATTGTCAATAATCTATGGGAATCGTCAATAATCCACAGGGATCGGTAATAATCCACAGGGGTCGTCAATAATCAATAGGGATTATCATTAATCCATGAGAAATGTCAATAATCAACAGGGATCATTAATAACTGTGATCATCATTAATCTGTGGGAATCATCAATAATCCACTGGGATTATCATTAATCTACAGAAATTGTCAATAAACTACAGAAATCATCATTAATCCACAGGGATCATCCATTAATCCACGGAAACGTTGATAATCAACAAAATAATAATCTATTTGCCATAGGATAATCTATGATACACTTAAAAGAAGCCACTCTTCCCGAAACAAATGATCATTTTATAACAAAATCATAATATGCTGATGTGCTATAAAAATATGTTTAATACTTTTATATAATAACAAGCGTTAATGATATTTAATAATTGAAAAACATGAAATAAAAAAAGATAATATTATTATAGTTATAATAAAAGTTAAGTAATTTTTATCCCATATTGTTATCTTTATTTATTTATTTTATCAATATCCGATTTATAAAATATATCTAGGATAACTTCTTTAAAAAAAAATGTCAAACTAAAATCTTTCTATCCAGGCCCGTTGGAATAAAAAAAACATCATTCTTCTGGTCAACACATCTCCGATAACCAGAAATCATACATAGCTGATGAAAATTAAAATACTGGAGAGTGCCCAGATCCGCATAAAGAGGAGATAATGATAGTCTAATTAAAACCAAAACTCTCTCAAAAAAACTAAATTATCTAAAATTTATTAAAACTGAATTCGGACCATATGTCAACAGCTACATATGTAAACAGCCATACATATCAACAGCCACACATCAACAGCTATAACTCTCTCAAATAAACTAAAATGGATTAAAACTGAATTCCGGCCATATGTCAACAGCCATACATATCAACAGCTATACATGTAAGTTGTAAAAGTGAATGTAAATTTCTCTACACCACAGTTCAGCAGATTTGTGTTGTAAAATGGTTCTATTTACACCTGTTAAAACCTTTGTACCACCAAGTGCCTTGCAAATGTAGCCAAAAGCTTGTTCTCATACAAAGTATTTCAGTCTTTATAAGACTGGATGATCACCACTTCTCCTTACTACTTTTAATTGGATTATCAGGTCTTTTTTTCATAATCTTCATCTCCATATTACCTCCCTGAAATAGATAATACCAACAAACTCTGTTAAAGGCAGAATCACACCAGTAGATTGATATATCCTATTATTGTACACCAAACTCTGTTAAAGGCAGAATCACACTAGTAGATTGATAGATCCTATACAACAAAGACTGTTAAAAGGCAGAATCACACTAGCAGATTGATACATCCTATACAGCAAACTCTGTATTATTTAAGATTTAGATAACCAGTTGGTCGTTCTTGCTATAATAGTTCAAAAATATATATATATTAAAAAATGAACAAATTTAAGATTTCCATCAAATTACTCATTTTTAGAGCAAAATTATCAGGCTGTGAAATGTTCACAAGATAGTCTTGAATGTCAAGTACCATTGTCTCAATTATCCATTAAAAAATTAAATTATTAAATGGCGATCGAGTTACAATCCATTAAAAATTGCAAACATCCGATAGCAATAAGAGTTGATTATGGACCTGTCATGGGAGTTGATTATGGACCTGTCATGGGAGTTGATTATGGACCTGTCATGGGAGTAAATGTCTAATTAATAATCTATTATAAGATTTGAAGCCAAAAGAAAGACCTGCGATAGGCAGATTTAGCTCTTACATAATAAGCCTTTAAGGGGTAGTCACACTAGTAAATTGATTCGTTAAGACTTATCCTAGCAAATCATTTAGAGAATAAGTTCCGTAGCTGAACATACTCTGTTTTAAGAAGACCTGCTGGTCAGTTGGTAGAACAAATCCTATATGAATAGGACATGTTCTATACTTTAGGGTTTATCTGTTACCTATACGACAAATTCTAGACAAGTATGTGTAGGACATATTCTATAAGTTAGGGGTTACCTGCAACCTATAGGACAAATTTTACCTATAGATTAAAAGACTTGTCCTACAGATATAAAATCCCAACATAACCCCAATAGCTGTGACCAAGTCAACCAGATTATCCATTGTCTGTACTTTCATTTAAAACAATTGACACTGTTCGAACTTTCATTTAAAACAATTGACACTGTCCATACTTTCATTGTAATGATATACATACCGAACCAAACTGTCGAACATCCAGTCCATATTTTATAGCCGTCTCTAAAATACAGTTGACTTCTGGTCCTGTCAGCTGTGTTGGTGGAAATGGCATCTCCATGGAAGTATGATCATCATGAAATGCCCTGTAAAAAACAATATTGCATGGTTAATGCTGTCATGAAAATTTCCACATAACGTATATTTGCTATGAATACATAAATATATACAGTAAGACCTTTCATCCAGTACCACATTTTGCAAGAGATGGATAGAGAACAAGCTAAAAAAAATACGCGATTTTTTGTACAATCAGGAGCAATAATCCAGAAAGTTCTGGTCTGAAATGTGCAAATATCAAAAGGACAGAGATCTTTGGGATATAAAGATATGTTTTAAGTTTCATCAAAATTGTGACCTCCAGAGGGTCCACAACCTTCATATTACATACTTTTACACAATTTGCATACTAACTACAGCCATTTGGTTGGGTAATTTCATTTCAATTTTCCCGAAATTCGAATTCAACCTTAATTATGGTGGAATGGTGATATATTGAAATGGTTTTAAAACTCGGAAAAAAAAAATGTGACCTATAGAGAATCTGCAAGCTAAAATGTGATTTTTCGAACAATCAGGGGCCATAATCCAGGAAGTTACGTCCAGATATGCACGATTATCAAAAGGAATCAAGATCTTAATGTGTAACAGTGATATATTCACCCTTTTTTTTTTTAAATCGGATAAAAATTGTGACCTTTAAAGGGACCACAAGCTAAAAACGTGATTCTTTGTACAATCAAGGGCCATAATTCAGGAAGTTACGATCTTTGGGATATAAACACGCATTTCAAGTTTCATCAAAATTGGATCAAAATTGTAACCTCTAGAGGATCCACAACCTTGATATACCAGATGTTTACACTATTTGCGTATGGCCACTTTGTCCGGCAGATTTGGTCCGATTTTCACGAGATTCGAACTCATCCAACATTATAGTGTAACAGTGATATATTCAAATGTTTTTTTAAATCGGATAATAATAGTGACCTCTACAGGGACCACAAGCTAAAAACGTGATTTTTCGTACAAACAGGGACCATAATTCAGGGAGTTATGATCTGAAATGCGCGAATAACGAAAGGAACCAAGATCTTTGGGTTGTAAACATGCATTTCAAGTTTCATCAAAATCGGGTGAAAATTGTGGCCTCTAGCGTGTCCAGAAGCTAAAAATGTGATTTTTCGTACAATCAGGGGCCACAATCCATGAAGTTATGGTCCGATACATGCCAGTATCAAAATGAACAGAGATCTTTGTGAAATAGATCCATATTTTAGGTTTCTTCAAAATCGGATAAAAATTGTGACCTGTAGAGTGTCCACAAACAAATTGTGGACGGACAGACATCAGGGGCAACGGCATAATACGTCCACATGAAAATGTGGGCGTATAAAAAGGTAATTGTGCAAATAAAACAGTCTACGACACCAAACTTACTTCAATGCGTTTTCAACACTCTCTTGAAATCCAGGATTGATACCAGTTAGTTCAGGTTTTGATTCTAATGGTTTATCTGAAAAAAATGAATACACAATGGAATCTTATTTCATACCTCATTAACAAATGAACAAAACTAATGGTTGAGTTTGAAAGTATAAAATTAAGTTGACAGGCAATGAAACAAATGCCAACAGAAGCAAAGTCATCTAATAAGCATTCCAGAGGTTGCCGCATTCTTATTTTGTTGTAGATAATGGGAGCATGAACAGAAACACTGTGTTTACATCCGGGGAGCCTCGGTGGGTAACTGAGTAAGACACTGGCTCGCTAGCCTGGCGGTTGCGTGTTCGATCCCTGCATGGGTCGAGAAAGTTTGTTGGGATTTTTCGACGTAGGACGTTAAAACTCCATCTCATTTCATTTTCGTGTTTACATCCACAAGATTTTTCTAAGTGATCTGGGGTACAACTTTGATCGTAATTATCAAAGATAGGTTGCCAGACAACGAAACATACACATGAACACTATGTATACATTTCAAGTCAATCGAATGATCACTTGAGTCTCTAAATTATTCTAAAGAGATCAAGGGCTATAACCCTAACAGTATTTATCAGAAATTGAGGACGACAAACAGACCGGTTGGTGACAATAAAGAGCGTATAAAAAATGAAATGATTTACTTTTGATTATTTTTTAATAAATAAAAATTCTCGACAGCCACTGACCTTCTTTATCATCACTGAGTGAAGCTGTAAACATTTTACGACAAAATGTCTCTTCTATTGCTTTATTTTTCTGCACGATACTGAAACATTATATTTCAATCCCCTTGTTAAATCCCTTTTATAACGCAAAGCCACCTCCAACGTTGGGGAGTTAATGTTTGGAAACTTGTATAATAGTTTTTGTTAAATAACAAAAATCTTTCGTCTTTATATGAACTAATGTGTGTACAAAAATATCATATCACTTTAATTTTAAAGGGGCACTTTGGGAGATTAGATAAAGAGCTGGCAGTTCTCATTGCTCCACTCTGTACCGAGATAATAGCTATTGAATTTTAGGCCTAGCCTCGATCATCATTACTAAAATCGGTACAATAAAAAACATAGTCTTGATTATCCATTTTTGGATTTTATCATCAATGAGCATTGAGCAGCAGATTGGATTCAAATCCAGTAAATATCGCAGGCTACCAACGACATCGTTAGTTGATTATGGTATGAATAAGCTAATTATTGTCTAATTAACAATTTAGATAACATTTAGCAAATTTAGCTCTTGCATAATGTATGTTCAACTGACGTTTTTACAAAAATATCAGAATATCACTTTAATTTCAAGTAATAAAAACTATGGAATGACATTTGATTGACCAGATGCTCAAGTAAAAAAGTAAGATATTGTGAATATAATATAAATATTTGTGGAACTCACTTATCTAATTCAACCAGAGCATTGTTAATCTCTTTATTATGGGGTTCAAGTTTCTGTGCACGTTTATAATAATTTCTCGCCCTATCAAACTCCTGTACTTGTCGTAACGCCTGTAATAACATAAATAAATAAACAAATCCCATCATACATTATTAATTAGGCCATTGTAAGAAAAAAACATGTGCCTTGCAATAGTCATGATTTTCACCAGGATAGAAATGAAATTAAGTGAAATAAGGTTTTTTTAACGTCCTACTCCGACTGGGCTAATGAAGACGGGCATATGCCATACAGTATGCTATAAGGGAAATTTTGCCTGGGCAGCGACGCTATGGCCTACTCTTATATCGAATTTCAACTGCCAAGGGATCAGTTTATACCTCTCTGAATAGGTTTTACTAGACCCATGAGATAAAAACATGTGTCAAGGTATTTGAGCGGTCTGGGTTGGAATGGTCTAATGCACATGCTTTAGATCATCTGGTCTGTCGTTGTGTGGAGTATCATGGTTTCAACTACAAGCATCACAAGGGTAGAGACAAATGGGGTTTACCGACCACGACACAAACAAGGACATTTCGGGACTAACATATAGTTCAATATTATTTCAATAATTTGCTTACGCATAAGGGTCTTTAGCAGTGAGAGGAAACTGGAGGACATGGAGAAACACACAAGGTTGGACAGGCAATCCTACTCCTTGTCATGTACAAGCGTGGAATCAAAACCACGCCAGTTGACTCAATGAAAGACCATATGATCTAATGCACATATGTTGAACCATTCGGTGACCCAAACCCACTACATGACTTTCCTGTCCAACTTCATAGTCTCCCCACTCTCCTGTCTAACCTCATAGTCTCCCCACTCTCCTGCTCAACTTCATAGAGTCTCCCCACTCTCCTGTCTAACCTCATAGTCTCCCCACTCTCCTGTCTAACCTCATAGTCTCCCCACTCTCCTGTCTAACCGCATAGTCTCCCCACTCTCCTGTCTAACCTCAGTCTCCCCACTCTCCTGTCTAACCTCATAGTCTCCTCACTCTCCTGTCTAACCGCATAGTCTCCTCACTCTCCTGTCTAACCTCTGTCTAACCTCATAGTCTCCAAACTCTCCTGCTCAACTTCATAAGAGTCTCCCCACTCTCCTGTCTAACCTCATAGTCTCCCCACTCTCCTGTCTAACCTCATAGTCTCCCCACTCTCCTGTCTAACCTCATAGTCTCCCCACTCTCCTGTCTAACCGCATAGTCTCCCCACTCTCCTGTCTAACCTCAGTCTCCCCACTCTCCTGTCTAACCTCATAGTCTCCTCACTCTCCTGTCTAACCGCATAGTCTCCTCACTCTCCTGTCTAACCTTATAGAGTCTCATTTCTCTCCTGGCTAACCTCATAGAGTCTCCCCACTCTCCTTTCCAACCACCACTGTAATCTGGGTATCATTTAATCTTGGTTTAAAAATTTTGTAAAAATCAGTTAAATCACCCAAAATCATCTAATTTGTACTTGTGACCAGTTTAAAGCTGACTGATTAATTTGATAATGAGTGTTCAATTTATAAGGACAAATTAGATGATTTTTTAGTGATTTTAAACGATTTTTACAAATTTTTAAACAAAGACAATTAGTCAATAATAAGGGCTCACTTACCTTTCCAAATCTAAACAATGCTTTACAATTGTTTTTATCAAGCTCGAGCACCTTTTTACAATAACTGATAGCTCGACCACTGTGACACAGATTTAAACAACATAATGACAGATTGAGATAAAGTTTTAATAACATCTTCTGTTGACTTTCTTCTTCTTTCTCATTCTTCAGATGATACATCTCTAGAACATCCGCTGCCTGTAGTAAAAATATCATTATTATAACATCTCTAGAACATCCGCAGCCTGTAGCAAAAATATTAATATTATATTATAACATCTCTAGAACGTCCGCAGCTTGTAGTAGAAATATTATTATTATAACACTGCTAGAACATCTGCTGCCTGTAGTAGAAAATAGTATCATTATATTACATCTCTAGAACATCCGCTGCCTGTAGTAAAAATATCATTATTATAACATCTCTAGAACATCCGCAGCCTGTAGCAAAAATATTAATATTATATTATAACATCTCTAGAACGTCCGCAGCTTGTAGTAAAAATATTATTATTATAACACTGCTAGAACATCTGCTGCCTGTAGTAGAAAATAGTATCATTATATTACATCTCTAGAACATCCGCTGCCTGTAGTAAAAATATCATTATTATAACATCTCTAGAACATCCGCAGCCTGTAGTAAAAATATTAATATTATATTATAACATCTCTAGAACGTCCGCAGCATGTAGTAAAAATAGTAATATTATAACACTGCTAGAACATCTGCTTCCTGTAGTAGAAAATATTAATATTATATTATAACATCTCTAGAACCTCCGCAGCCTGTAGTAAAAATATTATTATTATATTATAACATCCGCAGTCTGTAGTAAAAAAATAGTATTATTATAGCAAAACATCTCTAGAACATCCGCTGCCTGTAGTAAAAAATATTATTATTATAAAATTTCTAGAACCTCCGCAGCCTGTAGTAAAAATACTATTATTATATTATAACATCTGCAGCCTGTAGTAAAAAATAGTATTATTATATTATAACATTTCTAGAACATCCGCTGTCTGTAGTAAAAGATATAATCTCTATATGCCATGAATGAACAAATAAAAAGGGGTTTAACCAATGAAAAGGGCATAGTGAACTATGAGAGAAATCTTGTCCAGACAGCAAATGAATTCAATCTGTCAGGGGATCATTGAAGTGCACATTAACATGTCCACAGGATCTCATTTTTACACACCATCCGAATGACTAGACACTGTTCCTTTGTCCTGCTTCAAAACTCAGGGAAATCAACGGTTTAAAAAGTTAGCAGACTGAAGGTGGAATTAGTAATTAAACGTCATGTCTAAAATTTCGGCTGTTGAAAAATATCTTGTTTAATAATATTGTATTATTACTAAAAACCAAACTGAAGTAAAAACCCAAATTATTTTCCCAAAAAAATATGAGAAGTGGTACTTACCTTCTTGTAACGTGTAAAAGATTTCTGATATTGTTTGGCTTGAAAGCAGGCTTTCCCATCCTAGGAAATAAAATCAATTAATAATGTCTTTAGCTACAGCAGGTGTAAATGGCAAAATAAAAGTTGATATTCACAATGTCGACCCAGCACAAGTTGCAGATTATCCATATAATATTACTAATACAGGATTTTCTTTAGTGGTTAATGTTGGTTAATTCTTTATTCTGACATGTTGTTGGGGATGTATGTGAAATGAAATGGGGTTTAACGTCCTACTGTTCTGCTCTGACTGGGCTAATGAAGACAAGAGGGATGTAGGTATTTTCTTAACATGAAAGTTAATTGAGTCTGACTAGCAGGTCTTTGTACCTGATTGCCTTATGAGTCTGACAAGCAGATCTTTTTTCTAAGATTAAATATAATTCTATAATACAGCTGTGTAGTGGCTTTGTTCTATAATTCTATAATACAGCTGTGTAGTGGCTTTGTTCTATAATACAGCCGTGTAGTGGCTTTGTTCTATAATACAGCCGTGTAGTGGCTTTGTTCTTTGCTATTCTACTGATATGAGATATCCTCATCATTTGATACGATTCTCACAGAATAATTAACTTTCCTTATTCTACGATCAGATTACCCATCATTAATCATCAACAAAACACACAATAAAATTCTCAGCTGACGACTTGTATACAGTTCTATAAAACCAAGCATGAGCTGACATGATGACTTCTGAAACTGAGATGAACTGGGCTAATGAAGACAGGCATACGCCATGCAGTGTGCTATGAGGGAAATTTTGCCAGGGCAGCGGCGCTACGGCCTACTCTTATATCGAATTCCAACTGTCAAGGGATCTATTATGTGCACGCCAATGTGTACATGGAACCTCGATTTTTCATCCTTCAGAATGACTAGACAGCTGTCCTTGTCAGAGCCTCCGTCCTGCATCACTGACAAGGGGAAACCACGGCGGAAAATCTGGATGAACTTTCTCTGCCAATACAGGGATTGAACACCCGACCTCCAGACTAGCGAGCCAGCGTCTTACCCACTTAGCCACCGTGATCCCTCATGATGACGTCTGTGTGTATGCATCAATCCAGAAAGGCCCATGATTTCTATAGTTATGCATACCGGTATATATTTCAAAATCAGATGGGAACAAAATAGACACAAGGTTTCCGGAGTAATTTTAGTCAACTTTTAAGACAATGGACCTCTAATAGCAAAACTGATTGAGCTGAAACTCTTTGGTAAAACATTCTCCAAGAAATGCTCTGTAATACATGTGTGTGGTCGAGGATAGAAACTACTTTCGGTTTATCTAATATACTCAATGAACTGTTCTGGACCAGTCTATCAAGCAGCACCACACATGGATAAATCGAGTCTGATCAAAATAACTTACATCTTTATGTGCTCGACAAACTTTTAGAATCTGTTCCAAAGTAATGTACTTACGTTCAATCTGAAACACAATGTCCAATAAAAATAATTAGTTTACAATTTATAATTCATAGGATTTAGCAAGAGATCTCGGTCATCAATATCCCGGGTCCCTGGTCATATCAGTTGTTTTAAGTAATCAACAACGAATGCTAGCATATTATTGAAGATACACTGATAGACAACCCTTGTGTTAAAGTAACCAACAACCAATACTAGTAGTGTACATGTGTTTGAAGATACAGGGATAGACAATAACTGTGTTATATGTAACCAATACAATACTAGTAGTGGTCTTGTTATTGAAGGTACAGGAATAGACAATCTATGTGTTATAAGTAACCAATAACCAATACTAGTACTACTGTAGTGTACTTGTGTTTGAATATACAGGGATAGACAATCTGTGTGTTATAAGTAACCAATACAATACTAGTAGTGTAAATAGTTTCTGGCATCCCATTTATTCTACCTCGAACTATTTTAGGATGAAATATCAAAAACAATAAGATCCCAGAAATTAGCAAAAGACACAACTTGTATCTTACCTCTGTAATTATAGTCTAGTTGTTCAGATGGGATGTTAGTATCTTACCTGTCATATTATAGTCTAGTTCTTCGGATGGATGTTAGTATCTTACCTCAGTCATATTATAGAAATCATCCACACCTTCCTGTTCTACAAAACTCATTAACTCCACTTCGCCTAAAACTACGAAATATAAAAAAAAAATAATGTAGAGTAAAGCTCTAAAGCATCGCACGAAGCACGCTGCTTGATCAAAGCTCTTTTCTGGTAACACAGGAGCGTAACTAAAACTGTCCCCCTCAGACTGTTGATCAAAAATAAATTCAGACTGGAACCGGATACACTGGGCAAAACTGGCAATGCACATGTCAACTTACTGAATCACACCCATTAAACAGGCCCCAAGTTCACAAAGCATTCTCAGACTTAAGTTGAGAATTTACTCAACTTTCAATCACTAATTATGAAAAATATCTTTGATCCAGAAACACGAAACTTTGCACATAGTTTCTTATTGATGTATTTGATACATTAAAACAACAAAGGTTTTATAAAAGGTCTATATTTTAGTTAAAATAAGGAGACCAATTTTGAGTAAATTCTCAACTTAAGTCTGAGAATGCTTTGTGAACTTGGGGCCAGAATTTGTATCACTTGAGAAAATATAATTATGAAGGTTTTATATTTGACAACAATCACATCAGCTTCGCTCTACACAGACAATGCCTATTATATATTATGATCAGTAACTACACAATTATTCAAATGAAATGGGGTTTAAAGTCCTACTTTTCTGCACTGACTGGGAAATGGAAGACATACGCCAGGCAACGAGAAAAATTTTTCCTGGGCAGCGGCACTGCATAATTGTAGCCATTTTGGAATTGTCATGTCATATCAAAGTCTGCAATGGATGTATTAAGGCCAAGAGAGCAAGCATGCTAGGTTGTTTGTCAATCTAGTCAAATTGGTGGTATGGGCATTTTTTGAAGAGTGTCGTCGAAGAGGAAGAATATTAACATGTTCCTTACTTGCAGAATTTCCTGGTATCCGGTTACCACACCCCATTTTACCATAACCATAATCTGGGGTAAATATATACTGTGATTTCTCTCCCTTTTTCATTGATGATACGGCTATTTCTAATCCTGTTATCACCATTCCTATTATAAATAGAATAAATAATATATCACCATTCTCATTGTAATTATATAACCATTCCCATTGTAAATAGAATATATCACCATACTCATTGTAAATAGAATATATCACCATTCCCAATGTAATATACAATATAAAATCTAGATATAACCATTAAATATACAATATAAAATCTAGATATATCCATTACATATACAATATAATATATCTAGATATAATCATTAAATATACAATATAACATATCTAGAAATAACCACAAAATACACAATATAACATATCTAGATATAACTATTAAATATAAAATATCTAGATATAACCATTACATATACAATATAACATCTACAGTATATAAAACTATTAAATATACAATATAACAAAACTAGATAAAACTATTAAATATACAATATAACATATCTAGATAAAACTATTAAATATACAATATAACATATCTAGATATAACCACTAAATATACAATGTAACATATCTTGATATAACCATTGTATGAAGAAATTGAAATCCCCATCACCAAAACCACACAAGAAATCTATAATCTAAATCTCATTTGTGATTCTAGCAGTTCCAGAGAAGTAAAATATCTGCTGCCAGAAAACAAAACAATTGTGATCATGGGCCTACTATCACATCAATTTGTAATAATCATAATTCAATTCATAACAACAGTTGAAAGCCACAAACCTTGGCCAAGTCGAAACTTGAAAACTTCTCCTCGCAATCTGGTTGAATCAAATGGTTCATCACTTCCTTCTAGATACAGGTTATAGTTGACTATAAATATATATTAAATAATAAATTAAATATTAAGTAATACATTGATACTGCATGAGGGCGTTAGTTCGAGTATTGTATCAATATATTATGCAATGTCTTGTCAAGAACATAACTTAAAATACAGACATTATCCTGCACCTGTATTTCAATGAAATTATCGATATTTCATCTTTAGCAGTGAGAAGAACCTAGAGAAAACCCATGATGTTGGATAGGCAACTCCACTCCATGTCACGTACAAGCAGGGAAAATAAACCAAGCAACTTGATTCAATGACAGACTTTATAAACTAAAGTGTACAGTAAATCATTCCTCCCCCTCCCATGACCTAATAGGATACGACATCAATATAATAAAATGAAATGGGGTTTAACGTCCTACTGTTCTACTCCAACTGGGCTAATGAAGACGGGCATAGGCCATACAGTGTGCCATGAGGGAAATATTGCCCGGACAGCGGCACTACGGCCTACTCTAAAATAGAATTCCAACTGTCAAGGGATCTTTTACGTGCACCCCAATGTGTACACAGGACCTTGATTTTTTGTACCATCCAAACGACTAGACATAAAAAGACTACAAACCTCTGACTAGTGATTCTGGTGTTACAACGTTCCCCGAACCAGGAGATAAAATTCTTTTCATGACTCCGCCATCACCACTGCTGATATCAGACATCTTGAGTTTAATTCGTTCGAACGGATCCATTTCTTCTTCATCCAGACTGTAATCATCTTGATACATATTCTTAAAGACATCATCCTGGTTAAATACCTGATAGACATCCGTGTCATCCTCTAAAATATTCAACATGCAGTATGAACGATGTTCTTACTATAATAGTTTAAAGATTGACAATTGACAAATCAATACAGAAATTGCAGTCAAAGTATTTTATTCTGAGCGAAATTATGAGTGTTTGAAGTTTTGACAAAATAGTTTTGATTGTCAAGTACCATTGTTACAGTAATAAACCGATAATAAACAAAGCCTTGATTATCCACTTTAGCTCTTACATACATGTACATTATGCATTTACACGTTTTCACAGCAGCATTACTATATTACAACTCTTTAATTTATTATAGACAATTGTGAATTCCTGGCGGGAAGCATGGCAAAACATGATGTATTCTTACCGAAACACGGTGTATGCTTAGCGAAACACGGTGAATTCCTAGAAAAACACAGTGAATTCCTAGCGAAACATGGTGGATCCCAAGCAAATCTTAGAGAAAAATCGCCGCGGAATCTAAGAGAATTCGGAGTGGGTTTTTTTCGTCGCGTCACCACGATTTCGGTTGCAAAAATTTTGGAGGAACTGTAATGTATTTTTTTCTATACCGGTAATTATATTGTTTATAGGATGAATAGGTTGCATCAATCAATCAAGAAACTGATGAAGGATGAACATTAAAGCCACTGACCATTATTTGAGGGATTTTGTCGCAGACTACATCGTTTTAAAAAGGAATATTGATTCAATAATATAAAATAAACATCAGATAGATGGGCTAATATTGGTTCAATATAAACATCAAATAGATAGGCCAATATTTGATGTCTATTTAAAGTGCTAACTAGATTTAGTCACAAATGTGCATAACTATTGAAATATGTCGAAAATCAATAGGCTTTTCTCTTTGATGGAGTATGACAATTTAAAAATTTCAGAATGATGAGATTATAATTGAAGCTAACATGAAATGTGGACAACAGACAAACTATATTGGAGAGACGGCCTAAAGTGATGTCAATATATACCAGGTTGTTAAAATTGGCCTCGAAAACATGAAAATTTGGATGATATTTGTTGTATTTTTGGAAAAATCTCAATATGAACGTATATAAATGGTTTTGAAAAATACATATGCCGTGTGAGTATGCCTGTAGATTGTAACTTTGCATCGTTAAACATACCTTTATCTTTAGACTCGTCTTGGACTTCAAATTCTATTCCATTTGTGTTTGGGTTACGTAAATCATTCAAATCAATGCCATTGGTTAGTGTTACTGTGGGTTCATCATCCTGAAACAATAATAAATGTAAGATGCCAGCCAACAAAACATATGACCAGTAGTATAACTTGTGACATCCCCTTGACAGTTGGAATTCAAAATAAAAGTAGACTGTAGTGCCGCTGTCTTGGCAAAATTTCCCTCATATAACAGACTGCACAACATATGCCCATCTTCATTAGCCCAGTTGGAGCAGAACACAATAACTGCTGTCTCTAGAGTGTCTAAAGCGTCACAACATTGTACAAAGTAACCAGGGGCCATAACTCCAGAAATTGCTGAAATTCAATAGGATTCGTTTATTACAGTAATTTAAATAATGTACATAAATTCCAAAAAGATTGGCTTGATGTTATGAAATGAACAGAGATTTAGAGAAGCAATTTTAATTTTAAACAAAATCAGGTTTAATTCTGAACCAACCACACCAGGAGCCTGTTTCACGAAATTTTACCTAAGATAAAATCCAAATTTTAGTAATTTGATTGGATAATATTAGATTGATTTTAGTGCTTGGCCAATCAAAATTGAAGTGTCTACTAAAATTTGGATTTTATCTTTAGTTAAATTTTGGCTCAATACCACTCTTGTTGTAACTGAATAATATGTCCCAATCTTTATTATGGTCAACAAATGGCACTATTTTACAATATTCCAATTAATTGATGATACAATTTTCATCTTAACACACCTAATTTAAAAAATTGGTAAAATTCAACTAAATGATTTGAAAAGCCTGACGTAAAGCTTTTCAACTGTGACTTGGATTTAAAAATATTTTTGAACCCTCTGGACAAGTAAAATAGGATTTAATGGATAATTTACACAACGGGTATGACACTAACACATCTAGTACTTAGAATAAGGCTATTTTTTATTTTCTGGAGCTGTCAAGCCAGCAAGCAAGAGTGTTATTGTCCCTTTAAGATTTCGAGAAACAGGCCCCAGGCAATAAAGTCAGGTAGACTACACATGTAGGCCTGAATTTAATGAAGGTGGGTAGGCCTATATAGGACATCCAGTGTGCTATGAGCCGTAGAAATTGCGTTTAGTAATGCATTTCACAGATACTAAAATAATCTTATGGATAGAATCCTTTTGACAGAAATAGTTTTGGGCCTCCCTAATTTGCATGACGAATGACAAGCGAATGACGAATGACAAGGAATTTCTAAGCAATAACCGCCCCCTTTAGGCCAATATAATTCAACGACAGTAGCCTATTGAGTTTAATAACTATCGACTTATTTTTTTCTTTATTAGTGGTGACACCGAGGCCTCCACCATCGATCCACCAGTAAAATCAATCTAGTAATAAGACATACATTTTGTCATTCGCCCAGGGAACCTGTGTCATTCTGTCATTCGTCTGAGATAATTTCGATCATTCACTTTGTCACTCGTCTGGTGAACCTGTGTCATTGTCTGTGTCACACACTTATTTGTCATTCGTCCGTCCGGTTAATTCTGTCATCATTCGTCCTACGAATCTATTGTATTCTCTGTCATTCGTCTGGTGAACCTGTGTCATTGTCTGTGCCACACAATTTGTCATTCGTCCGTCCGGTTAATTCTGTCATTTATTTTGTCATTCGTCCTGCGAATCTATTGTATTCTTTGTCATTCGTCTGTTGAAGTCGTGACATTCGTCCGATAAACCCGTGTCACTCTCTTTGTCATTCGTCTGGTGAACGTGTGTCATTCTCTGTCAATCTTCTGCTGAACCACTGTCATTGACTTTGTCATTCGTCTGACCAACCTCTACCATTCGTCCAGTGAAGCTGCCTCATTCTCCGTGTCAAACATTTTGTCGTTTGTCCTTCCGGTGAATTATGTTATTACCTTTGTTATTCGTCCGGTGAATATGTCATTCGCTTTGTCATCAGTTTGGTGAACCTGTGTCACTCACTTTGTCATTCGCCCGTTCGAGGAATTATGTCATTCGTCCAATTACTCTGTCATTGTCTATCATTCGCCTTATGATTTATTTCATTCACTTTGTCATTCGTCTGGTAAAGCTCTGTCATTCACTTTGTTAACCATCCGGTTATCCTCCTGTCATTCGTCTGGTCAACGAAACCGTGATTCGTCATTCTTTTGGTGAACCCTAGCTACGAGAACGTAGCTAAAAACGTTGAGATATACTGATGTTTTGAGAGATTAAGGTTTGTTATCTAGGTGTCATTCGTCCTGTTAACCTGCCATTCTCTTTGTCATTCGCCTTGATAGGCGGCCTGGTGAATCGACAGTCACTTTGTCGTTTGACTGGTGAACCCCTGCTGTTATTCGTCTGGTAGACCACTTTTCATTCGTCTGTAATTCACGTCAGTCGGTTGGTGAACCAGTGTCATTTATTTTGTCATTCGCTACGTCATTCGTCTGGTGATTTCTGTCATTCACTTTGTCATTCGTCTGGTGTAGCTCTGCAATGACAAAGTGGCACAGGTTCACACACGAATGACAGAGAATGTACATCAGACGAATGACAAACATAATGACATAGGTTCACCACACGAATGACAAATAGAGTGACATAGTTTCACCACACCAATGACAGAGGTATACCAGAGGTTCACCACACGAATGACAAACAAAATAACATGTTCATCACACGAATGACAAAGGTTTAATACACGAATGACAGAGGTTCGACACACGAATGACTAACAGAATGACAGAGGTTCGACACATGAATGACTAACAGAATGACAGAGGTTCGACACACGAATGACAAACAGAATGACAGAGATACGCCATACGATGACAAAGAATGACAAAGCTTAATCACCACACGAATGACAATCAGAATGGCAGGTTCACCACACGAATGACAAAGTGAATGACATAGATTCACCTCACGAATGACAAACAAAATGACAGAGGTTCTCCAGGCGAATGACAAACAGAATGACAGAGGTTCGACACACGAATGACAAACAGAATGACAGAGGTTCACCACACGAATGACAAACAGAATGACAGAGGTTCGACACACGAATGACAAACAGAATGACAGAGGTTCGACACACGAATGACAAACAGAATGACAGAGATACGCCATACGATGACAAAGAATGACAGCTTAATCAGGCGAATGGTAAACAGAATGACACAGTTTAACCACGCCAATGACATAGAATGACAAAGGTACACCAGCCGAATGACAAACAGATTGGCAGAGGTTCACAACACTAATGACAAACATAATGGCACAGGTTCACCGGACGAATGCCAAACAGGATGACAGAGTTTCACAACACCAATGACAGAGGTGCACCAGCCGAATGAGAAACAGAATGACAGAGGTTCGTCAGACGGATGACATAGGTTCATCACGCGAATGACAGAGAATGTCAGAGGTTCACCAAACGAATGACAAACAAAATGACAGAGGTTCACCAGACGAATGACAACCAGAATGACATAGGTTCGCCACACGAATAACAGAGAATGACAGAGCTTCGTCACACCAATGACAAAGGAACACCAGACGAATGACAAATGGAATGACAGGTTCAACACGCGAATGAGAAACATAATGACAAAGTTTCACCAGACATGACAAACAGAATGGCACAGGTTCACAACACCAATGACAGAGGTACACCAGACGAATGACAGACAGAATGACATAGGTTCACGAGACGAATGACAAAGAGGATGTCAGGTTCACAACCCGAATGACAAACATAATGACAGAGGTTCACGAGACGAATGCCAAACAGAATTACAGAGTTACACAACACCAATGACAGAGGTGCACCAGCCGAATGACAACCAGAATGACAGAGGTTCGTCAGACGAATGACATAGGTTCATCACATGATTGACAGAGAATGTCAGAGGTTCACCACACGAATGTCAAACAGAATGACAAGTTTACCAGACGAATGACGAACTGAATGATACGGGTTCGCCGGCCTAATAGAGACTTTTGGCAAGCGTAAATTTCTGGTCCGTATCGTGTATCCGTATGGAATTTTGCGTGTGACGTCATCAATGTGTGTGTATTTCTCATACATGATACGGCACACGGATACGGCAGAACGTATCGAACAGCTTTCATACGGAAAGGGTCCGTATAACATTGTCGTGTCTTTTTACCGTCTTTTTTCTACTTTTAGACGCTGAAATGTTGTATGATAGCGTTATTATGAATCTTTGTGTATTCTAGAACACGAAGGTGTATATTTGATGTGATTTTAACCATGATGGTTGATTTACGTGCAAAATTAGGGAGGCTGAACCTTGCAAATCTCAAAAAGATTTTATTCTGTGGTAAAGGGGTAAAAACTTTCTGAAATGATACATTAGTGAAACCAAAAATTACAGTCGAGTCGAAGATTTTTAATAAGATTCGACATTTATTTTGTTTGATAGCTCGGCGACTGCCGAGCGACTTCATTCCCTCCGAGAAATTGTAGACTATAATAGGCACTTGACTAGTACTGGTGGTGATCTTGGTAGATATCTGCCATTATGCTGTTATAATAGAACTAAGCTCAGCTCATCGACGCATACGTACGCGACGCAAAAATCTGCCAAAACTCTATAACTACCTTGACGCAACGTATCACGTATACGATACGGATACGTGATACGGATGGGAAAATTCCGCTTGCCAAAAGTCTCTAATGTCTGTTCGTCATTCGTGTGGTGAACCTCTGTCATTCTGTTTGTCATTCGTCTGGTGCACCTCTGTCATTGATGTGGTGAAACTCTGTCACTCTCTTTGTCATTCGTCTCTGTTGTTTTGTTTGTCATTCGCGTGTTGAACCCGTGTCATTCCGTTTGTCATTCGTCTGTTGTACCTCTGTCATTCTTTGTCATTCGTCTGGTGTACCTCTGTCATTCGTCTGGCGGACCTCTGTCATTTTGTTTGTCATTCGTGTGGTGAACCTATGTCATTCACTTTGTCATTCGTGTGGTGAACAAAGAAAATTTTCGGTAAATCCCCCCACCCCCATATGGAGGTCCACCAGACGACTGACAAACTAAGTGGATGACAGAACGTCGCCAGACGAATGACAAAGTGAATGACAGAAATCACCAGGCGAATGGCAGAGAATGACACAGATTCACCGGAAAAATGACAAACTGGATGACATATCCACCGTCCCGAGGAATGACAAAGTGAGTAACAAAGATCTAGAGACGGAAGGTTGAGAGATGATGTTTCTTATCTAGTGTGATACATGCTGTTCCCAGATCAGTTTCATGCAATTGAAATAAAATATTAATTACTCCAAAAAAGACAAAATAAGTTTATAGTTATTAAACCCAATACGGTAGTTGAATTATATTAGCCTAAAGGGAGCAGTTGTTGCTTAGAAATTCCTTGTCATTCGCTTGTCATTCGTCATGCAAATTAGGGAGGCCCAATAGTTTTCCATCCTGTCTCGACGACTTGATTCAAAGAAAAAATATTAATTAATTTTCCCAGCTTTAAAACTATCAAGCTTGGAAACGTTTTCAGTTATAAATCCAAGATTTGCGTCCAAACAATACGATTTGTTCATACTTACTGGATAAAGCGCATTCATGTTGAAAACTTCTTGTTTTTCGGAAATCACGCACGGGTATTTTCTTCAGTAAACCGAAAGTCGAGCCATTCTACGTCACGTGGGAGTTTACGGCAACACAATATTATGGATAAAAGATACGAAAAACGAAATAGTAAAATTAGATTCAAAGAAACGAAAAACGAAATAATATGATATTAGAATTTGTATCGCTGTTTACCCCCACCTCCCAAAAAAAAAACTCCAACAAAAACAACGGGATATTAAAGGGGTTGGGCAGAATCGGATTATAACGGATCAGAAATTTATTTGAAAATCTCAAAAAAGACAACTGAAAGAAAACGCCGAATCCGGGGAGAAAACGGATCAGGCAGGATCACCCGAATCCTGTGGAGCGGCTTCTGAGTCAAAGAAAGGGCCTCCGAACCGAAGAAAATGGCTACTTTGGCTCCAGCGTAAGAATCCCTGTGTATGTATCCAGTCGAAAGACACACATATCTTGAGACATACGTGCGTCGCCCAATCATTTATCAGTGCCATTATGTGTGTGCTAATTTTTCATTTGTTTTCTCATTTTGTCCACGGGTATGTGTTATAGGCATTTGTTAACTATTATTCATCACAGTAACTTATTGTGGCCAGGGATGCTATTGTCATAATATGTATATTGTCAATGAGTTACTCGGGTGGTATATTATTACTCATATTATAATGAGATACTCGGGTTGTAATTAATCTGTTTAGCATGCGACCCCAGGTCCACTTATCTTGTATATCCATGGACCTTATAAGGTCCATAGTATATCTCATTCTTCTGGAAGACACGCTTCGATCAACATCTAACTGTAAGACTTGCATGATCCATTAATAAACATTAAACTTATATGCAGTGGCGGATTAAGCTCCACCAAGGCCTGAGGCGGCAGTTGCTGGAGGGCCTATTTAGTTTTTAAACTTAGAGCCAAGGTAGTTGCTAACATTAAAAACGGGATTCGTTACTGAGGTTATAATATTATTAAAATATTAGTTAAAACTTAGTTAAAACTATTGAAATTTGTCGTACAAAATGCTTTGACAGCAGAAACGTCACCGGAAACCAACTGTACATACACCTATTTTCAAGGATAATATTTCCTCATGATGGGGTGTTTACATCGAAACTAGCGCAAGATCTTTTGCTAGATATTTTTTCTTAAGCCAAAGTCGTTTGATATTGGTAATGTAACTTTATATGCCCATAAATGACGTCACTTGGATATAATATATTAAGCAAGACATAACCGAAAACAAGGATTTAACGTACATTGTAGGCCTACGTTTAAAAAATAAGATCAGATCTCCAAACAAAAGGGCCTATTTAAAATGGCGTGGGCCTAATTAATTTCCGGGGAGGGCCTTTGTTGATTTCCGTTGGGCCTAAACCCCACCCCCTAACATTCATTGTCTATGCGTTTTTAATCGTATCAAACAAGTCTAAAAATTTTTTTTTTACAAAATCTTTGGGCCTGAGGCTGCAGCCTCATCAGCCTCACTGATAATCCGCTACTGCTTTTATGAGTTAATGAGTTTATCAAGTATTAACAAGCATAACAGCTATTCTAGTGCGTATCAGGAAGTACATGCCTCCTATGTAGGGGGATTGGATGGCCGAATGGTTAGCACGTGCGCGCTGTATCATAAGGCCTGTCATTGAGTCAACGAACGTGGTTTCGAATCCCCGGTTGTACGTGACAAGGGGTAGGGTCGCCTGTCCAACCTCGTGGGTTTTCTCCAGGTCCTCCGGTTTCCTCCCACTGCTAAAGACCCCTACACGCAACCGATTTATTGAAATAAAAAATTAAACCGTATGTTAATCCCGAAATGACCTAGTCTGTGTCGAGTGGACGTTAGACCCAATTTCTCTCTCTCTGTCTCTCTCTGTCTCTCGTTTGTTTTCTCATCTTGTCCGCAGGAGCACTATTCTAGTGCGGATCACGAATTACACGCCTCCTATGTAAGGCCGGACCTTTTAATTCAGCATTTATATAATTAAAATAACCCTTCACATAATCTCTTGAGGCGTTTTTTATTTTGTCATATTTGTTTTCAGGGAATGTGTTGTTAACAATTGCAGCACCATTGCACAATTAGAAGATGTATATCGAAAATGCCTATTGCTCAGTAACCGTGATGAGTTGAAATAAGATGCCCAAAGAAACTGTATTGGTTGAATAAGATTCCCATATTCGATGCAATGATTATGAAGCTTTGCTGAATAATCGCTATTAGATGACCCAGACCAGTTATTTTGTGTGTATGTATGTGTGTGTGTGTGCGGGGGGGGGGGGGGGGTCAAGGGTGAAGATCATTTATAAGCATCGATTTCTTTATTATTTTAATGATTTAATGTTTCTCCATCTAAGTAATACCCGGCTGTGTTATGGCTATGACATGTACATTGTTCAGTATAAAATAATATGTACCCGAAAAAATTGAATATGTCACAGCCACATTTATCCTACTCTGCTCTTTGTAAAGTGTTGACCCCAGGGTCCTATCCCTGGCAGTGCCCCTAATAAATCTGTCTGAGAAAATAAATAAGGCTGACCTTAAAAATATCTTTGTTTCGCCTAACGCGACCGACTAACTAAAACCACCCCCGACTTAAATTATTTTATTGCACTTTTCCGCGATCTTTTTATTTTATTTTGTGTGTCAACCTGAAATATATCACGAGAGTTATTTCCCTTTACTATGGCTATGGTTTGATTCATTATTGAAACTGGTTGATCAAGACGAAAGCGTCATAGGTGTCGCTTCTCAACAAAATGGTTGCAGACGAAAGCACGTCCATTCCCACGAAATGATTCTGCCTCTATGTCTGTGGGGCGTCGTTTTAAACATGACGACGATATTTTCAATATCCGTTTTCGAGAAAAATGAAGGCACAACCCGCACGATCGTTAAAAACGTGTTGAGGGAGTTTCAAACGTGAGTTTGTGGCAATTTGTGTGCGAGTCGTGCATCAAGAAAAATCCCGATGTCATTGATTTGTTTGCCAATAAAAGAAGACGAATGTTTGCACCCGAAAAATTATCAAGCTGTCAAATTAGCTCTTAAAAAAAAAATCTGAAAAAAAAAACCGACCTACCGACCCTTCTCCTCGATTGTGGGTCGGGTTTGGTGAAACAAAGATATTTTTAAGGTCAGCCTAAGCTCTAACATATGTCACTGCTAAAATGTTAGATGATTTTAAACGTACAATCAATATGTCGCCCTATGTTTTTAACCGTGGCTAATAGGGTTTAACGTCCTACTTTTCTACACCAACCGGGTTAATGACGACGGACATACTCCATACAGTATGCTGTGAGTGAAGTTTACTATTATTTCGATTTCCAAGAGTTCTTTTACGTGCATGCCAACGTGAACACGGTAAATCGGGTTTTCGTCCCATCCAAACGCCCCGATGCTGTCCCTTGTCAGGCCCTCCATCCTGCACCACTGACAATGAAAAACCACATAGGAAACAGGATATCGAACAACTGTAGCACTATAGGACTTCTTTTATTGTTGTGTTTGTTTCTTCGTGATCGTAACAAAACTACAGCATGAATGGTTTTACAACTTAATTGCTAAGCTGTAATGGCTTTGCAGGTCCATCGTTCTCAGTAATAATGGCTGAATGAGCTCTGATTTATACACCCTAATTTATACTCCCTAATTTCTACAGGTCTTCGATAGCCTTGACGTTAATTTCCATCCCATATATGGATTACACCCCTTTATTTCACAGGACTAAGAGAGGAGACATTACCTTATTTGGTCTACCAACCATAGATCAATTAACAGCCAGAATTTGATGGATATTTTGACAATTATGACGATTATGATTTAAGCAAAATATCACTGTTTTTTTTATGTATAACTATATATTCACGTTCATTAAGTACGTGTGATTTGACATAGACAAAGTGATACGACACTGCCCGGGCAAATCCCCCCTCCCCACACACAGCATGGCGTTTGATCGTCTGTATTAGTCCAGTTGGTGCAGAAAAGCAGGATGTTAAACTCAATTTCATTTGTTCTTCGTCAGACGGGGGCAACGAAATCTGAATCAACAGAAAGGTGCTCAATATTTCATCTACGGCTAGCTATATATAGGCCCCTTCGGGACGAGCCACCTCCTGTGATTGGTCGCGTAATCCACCTCTGAGGTTATAAGATAAGATAAGATTTTATCGTATCATTTCATCCAGCAAGGACAGCATACACAGTTTAAACAAAAGTTGATTATACAATTATAACATAATATACAAACTCGTTTTCACCGTTTAACTTAGTACCTGTTTATGGTCTGACTTCCCTGATCCTTGACACCAGACCTATTTCAGAAACACCTCATAGTGTCGATCTTTATAGGAACCAACTTTAAAATCTCTCCATCGTGACGGATAGTTACTATTTACTTGGTCGATCAGTCTGCAAAGACTTTAGGGACCGAAAATGGAACCTACTTGTCCATTTTTCTAGGAATTAGCTGAGAACGGAGGTGTTCTCTTGTCACCCGTGCCCAGATCTGTAGAACCCGATAATTGACGTAACTGAATCATTTGATTTCATGAGAACCTAATTAACCCAGAATCTTGTTTACAATCTAGACAGATCTCGTATATACATGCAGGTGGATGTCTTAATCAATTAGAGTAATTTTACACATCAGGAATATTAACCCAATGTATCAATGACAAGATTAATACACAAGCCATATCTGACAGTGCTACCCCAACAGTGCTACCAGAGCCGGATCTGATTGACCAAAGTGGGACATTTGCCGCCCCTCCCCCCACGTTTTGAATTGAGTACAAGATCAAAAGTTCAATTGGATGACCGAGAGAACAATGAAGGTCACGCTATGTACCCTCGTTCGGTCCACATCTGGGTGTGGGGGCGGGGGAGGCAATGTTAACTTTTACACTTTGCCTTGAACTCCGGTGGTATACATCTTTACGTATATAGTGCCGCTAGTTCGCCAGCGAATGTGACTCCAAGGACCGGGATTCGTACAATGCTTGAGGTTTGGGGCGCTGGACCCTTTGCTTTTTTTTTTTCTAAAGTCAGCCCCTCACCAC